AATCGTGACTCTACACACATACTTGGTTGTTTTTTGTTAATGAGGAGTCAATATGTCTATATCTCTTCATGTGGTCCATTGAATCACTAGTTATCAGATTTTCCCCACAAACTAAAGAAGAAAAGGCAGCAACCATGTAATTTGACCATTGTTCAAATTTATGTAATTTATGTAATACTTATCCATGCCTGTACAACTGGTGTGTCCTATATAGGTAGGAATAAACATGTACCTTATTATATTTTCATTACTGAATATGCTTCCTGATCGTATGTGTAATTTATCATATTGATGATACCTGTAAACTGGCGTCCCTCATGTACAAAAAAGAGAATATATTATTATTGTCATCGAACGAAGCAAAGAATGGAAGTCAAAACTCAACCTCAACATCACTGACTTAGAAATGGCCTTCGACAGTGTGTTGACCGAGAAGTAATTTGGAAATTAATTCGACACCACGGTGTGCAGTGCTTAGGTCTTTATCAGCCTCATTCAACAACTGGCTATATGACCATGCCGCTTGTCAGCTGATCCACAAGTGGAAACTTAGTAAGGCATTCGAAGTGAATACAGGAGTAATAAAAAGGCTGCCGACTATCAATTATGACATTCCTAGATGTGGTGGACTGGATTATGTGTCAGACTGTGCAAAGGCATCGAGAAGACAGGAATACATTGAACCAATAAGAAGACTCTAGAAGACATGGACTGCGTGGACGATTTATGTCTCATTTAGAAAAGAAACTCGAAGATCTGCGAACGAAAATCAATGAGTTGGCAGAAGAGGCAGTGAAGGAAGGAAGTCAGGTAAACATGAAGAAGATGGACGTGATGAAGACGTCAAACCAACCAACAACAACGACAACAAGTGATATCAACGGAATAGATTTGAAGGTGGTTACTTCCTTCACTTATCTAGGAAGCATCGTTCTAACTACAGGCAGTCAGAGCGGATGGGGATGTCAAAGCCAGTCAGAATCGGAAAGGCGAGATATGTCTTCGTCAACCTTAAACCATCTTGGGAATCTTCTGAACTCAGCACTAGGAACAAGATTTCCATTTGCAACACGAAAATCATATCGGTCCTTCTATACGGGTCAGAAAATCAGCCAGCGTGCACGAAAAGGATTTCCAACAGCCTGTTGCAGACTTTTATCGATAGATGCCCACTGCTCTGGCTCCATACTGAAGGTCAGATGGCCGGCTAGCCAGGAAGAATTAGGAACAACAAACTCTGGCAATGAACAAACCAACCAATGGCCTATCGTTCAACAAACATGTAGGAGAAAATGGAGATGGATTGAACTTACGCCACTGAGGAGGCTGACGAATGACATTGCGCACTAGGCTCTCGAGCGGAATCAAAGTGGGAAGCGACGAGTGGGTTGTCAGTACGAGAGTAACATGGAGGAGGTAGTGTGAGGAGGAGATGATAGATTATGGTCAAGTATAGACCCAACTGAAGAGGACAGCGCCAAACTCGGCAAGGCGGAGATGTATTATTGAGGCCCTATGTTCCATTCGAAACCCAAGGGATTGATAATAATGTAAGGGAAAGGAAGGCGAACTGAATTTTTCATACTCACTTTTGATAGAGATTCTTTTCGATTCGAATCTCGGAAAAATCATGGTTTTCCATACTACTAGGTAGGCTACTGTTAAGTTCTTACTTGTTTTGCAATAGGCAGGAGCAGTTAAGTGTTAATCTCGCACTCTGCCATCATAAGATCAATGTTTCGACCCAATGATGTTTTTAGTTGTACTTCTTCTGACTTCCTTTGTGAGGCTGGTGTCAGTGCTGGTGAACACTGAAGTAATGTCTAGTGATCTTGCCTATTAGAACTAGTTTCATTCTCGACGGAGGTGCAAATCTCCCAAAGTGGCTTCCACGTTTGCTGGTTGGCAGTACTATCATAAGTATTAACGTATCATGCAGCCGTCTGTTTGTAGACTTTTCTTCAGTATATTTGTATCAACTAACTGCGAACTTAATGATAAAACTGCTGTATAAAAAACTTTGCTGTATTGGTTTCTTGTGGATCGAGCAACAGCAACGAAGTTCAGTTGGTTATGAAATATCTAAATAGTGACATGAATTCTGGATATTCATCTTCCGACAACAGTAATAATTCTCGATAACATTATTATAGGTTTCTGAGCTACCAAATAAGGAGCTGGCATTACTTCCGGGAAAGGTGGTTCGATAGTGTTGTTTGCTTATAAGCGGGACGGTGACTGTGCTTCGTATAGCTTCATGAATACATGACGTTTTGTCGCACTAAGTTGCTTGAGTGTGAAGTAGACATCCAAGCTTAGATTAATTTGAAGTGGCGTAATCTATGACATTTAAGACTGTACAGTTATTTATTCAGTAGCTTGTTTTACCCACTTTTCACATAGGGAATAATTTTCGCACTCACTGAAATTACTACTGCCTTGTTTTTAAAGTGCGTTGAAATTGTGAAAATAATGAGCTCAACAATATACTGCAGACTAACACAAGACAACCAAAATTTCACGAACCCCTGTAGGCCGATGGTTGTTGTAATGTTTAACTACACAAACCAGCCCAATGAATCAGTAATCTGCCTATCTTGTAAGTGCTGATAACAAGACGTAAATCCAGGAGACTCAGTTATCTTGTAATGAGCACTTATGAGAAGTATATTGGAATTCAATGAAAAGTCAAAGTTATTTCTGGAAGGAATCTTATAACTCACCTGGATAGTATGGCTGGACTACGGAATCAGAGTATGTGTGTTAATAGCACAAGAAAAGACAGCGAAGTGGCGTTTGAGCTTATCTAGATGTGTACTCGTCAGAAAAACTTAAAAAAACATCCATGGCTTCCAAAGCCAGGCTAGAAGTTTATTTAGTTGATATCAAGTTGATTCGGTTTGATCTATACATTTTAGCCCTAGGTTGATTGTAATCCCATGTGAGGTGCACTACAAGCCCACTGTAGCTATGGCAGTGCAGTATCTAAGGTGTAACCACACAGAAACCCATCCAGAATCAATCTGTGCTGCATCTCCACCAACCAGCGAGGAGAAAACGTCTATTGGTTCTATTGGTTTATACTGTTTGGTTAATAGTCTATTGGATAATGAACGCATCGACAACGAGAGTTGTTTAAATTAGCGGCGGATCCCAATTGCGTGGTTTGGTATTTAATTCAGCACGTAGTGGGAATTCCCCCAGCTGAATTTCACCCCTCTCAGCCCATATCCAGCACTGACTACTAGCATTATTTCACCTGGTAATCTTATTTTTAAGATTTTGTCGCGTTAATTAAGCACCTAGCGCTATTTTTAAGCACAACCAGCGTTATATTAGTACACAGTGGGTAGATAAAAAGTTCATTTACCATAAGAAGGCATTATCAACTCATAGGTTAGAATAAATTTAGAATTATTGTAATCTTGGGAAGTATGTATTTATTCCCGACTCACTCTATGATTATTCCCTTTATTTAATTAAGTCAGTATTGCTGAGTTAGCACCACTCCTTAGGTGTAGTTAACTACACCTCACCAAATACTTCTCCGAATTTCCTGTTAATTTCTTGATTGTCGCAGTTTCCACGTAATTTCTCTGGAGTCTTTAGAATACCACACAATTGCGATGAGATTTCAGACCAAATTTATATTTCAGTTCCAAGTTTTGTTACTAGTGGGCGGCTTCAAGCCCATCGTAATCCTCTCATGGCCATTGTCCGAGATTTGGACGATTGCACTAAGCTCTTAGTTCCCGACATATGGGTCACATGTTCGAGTCTGGCGCTACCCACTTCAACCTGGGTGACTGGGTAGTAACCCTCCTACGACGAAGTATGGCTGCCAAACTGGCACATGAGAAATCCGTTCCCGGAAACAGCCTGGAGAAAGCTCGTGGACGAGTCATTTGAGGGCACAGACGCCATGAATTAGTCTCAGAAAACGAAAACCAAATATAATCAGAGTGGAAATCTATTGAAGGGATGTATTTTTCGCATTTCCGTAAATGCTTGAAGAAGGATGCGTATATGAAAGGACACATGGGATTTCGAAAGTTTATCTTAGATTTCGTGATATGCCAACAAATCACGACAGGAAGTTCATATGCTTATTAGATTGAATAGCATTAAGCTGTTCCTTTTGGTAGTTTCAACGTATAGTGATTTGTGAACTATCACTGTCGTAGGATTTTGACCAACATGTACGGCCAGTGTAAGGTAGAACATGTAGTAGATGGTTAGAGGTAGTCGGCAGGGAGCCTTGAAACTGGGCTACATGCTTAGTGGCACTCTTCAAAAAGGCGTATCTGCAGTCTTGAGAGGACTGTTGCTTCAGAGATTCGAACGCGGGCCACGCAGTGGTTCATTCGGTAGTGTTGCTAACCATCTCATATCAACATTTCAGAGTGCACTATGATGGTGAACCACCTTACATGGTGGTCATATTAATAATAGAATTTGGCTTGCACCAAAGTAAGGACTAGATGCATGACATTAGTTGCTACCTAGTAAAATGTAGTAGTTTTGCCAATGAAGTATGTTTGGTAAGTCTAAGAAGGCTGCTACAAGCATTCTACAACTCGCTTCCTGTATTCTTGTGTTCCCACGACTCACAACTGCCAAGTAAAATATGGTTCACTGACATATTCTAATGGTATTCAACTCTCACAGCATCTTAACTGACACTGTTTGGAAAACTAGCCAAGCTTGGCGCTCTGGAACATGTTTAGAAGACAAGCATGCTGATTCTCCTGTAACTCAACCCTTAAAAATATGCCCTCCATAAGTTGTAAATCCATAGCTTTTCATTGCTTCAAACACATCTATTCACTCATATATATATATATATACATAGTAATGACAGGTCTGTCTGTGGAATAAGGCCTTACTTTCCACTACTTATGTGTATTCATATGTCAAATTATTTTTGCATTTTCTTACAGACTGAATTTCTGACGCATTTTACTTAACTATTCCTACTGTTGCTGAATACAGACTTAAAAATGTCTTCGGATGATGATCTGTTCCGCAGTTATTCTCCTAAGAAAACTGATGTATTTGACAATACAGGTGATTTGTTCTCTGAGTCTTTCATTGAACCAATCCGAGTAAAGTATGTGATAAATTTCTACTTATAATGTATTTATCATTTTAAAGAGGAAAACGGAAAGAAAAACAACAAGATATAGTCCCTGGTGTCAGTGAATTTATTCCAGACTTTTCATCTTATGAAAGGCATCAATTAATTGTTGAATCGGATGTTAGCCATCCTGCTGCTAGTCTTACAGATCAAATGTCAAAAAGTAAGTGATTCAGTATAATTCAATTAATATGTTATAGTTAATCAAGAAAATATTACTCAACCTGATCACATTCCAAATTCTGTTGTTGAGCCTAAGCATCAGATGATAGGTGGAAGTTCAACTGCTGCATTCTGTAGTACCCCTGGTCCTACGAACAGTTTCGCATCAAGTTCGCTTAAAGTTGATGGTGCAGTAGCACCAAAACCAGTATCAGGTGATGTTCTACTAAACGCCCTTCAAGTAAGTTGTTTGTATTCCTTTTTTTGTTTTGTGTTTGAATGGTTAATCGTCATTTTTATGTTTGATTGTATTGAGTTTTTATTTTAACGATTTCTAAATGCCCATTTTTAATTTGATTCTATTTCAAATATGTTCAGAACGCAATGCTAGCTGACATAGGATTAGGGTGAAATGAGTTAGACGGAGGGGGTCTAATTGGAATGTGGTATCATACCATTAAGTCTTGAGCTGCAATCTACAAATCTTCGGCATGCAATTCGCTCCCGCCAAATGTAAGACGATGCTGTATGACTGGACTACATTCACTCCTAGCTTAGAAATAGGGAGTGAAGGGGTAGAGCGCGTTGACCGCTTCACTTATTTAGGAAGTTGCATCAGCCTACGTGAACGGGTTAATCGTTGACGAAATCTCAGCACGGATACAGAAGGCTCGTTTCGCATATGCCAGTTTACGCCGTCTCTGGTGTAGACGTGATATCCTACTGGCTGTGAGACCTGGCCATTGAGAGTGGAGGGCATGAAAAGGCTAGCTGTCTTTGATCATAGGTGCCTGCGTTCTATCTGTCGTGTTAAGTGGCATAGTAGGGTAAGCAATACTGAGGTTAAGGTTCGAGTGCTAGGTAGGTGGGATGGGAAATCAATCGACGAGGCTGTAAAGCTACATCGACTGAGATGGTTAGGACGTGTGTTACGTATGCCTAGTCATCGCCTTCCTCGACGGGCAATGTTAGCTGACATAGGGTCAGGATGGAAAAGAGCTAGCGGCGGTCAAACCAAAACATGGCACCAGTTAATGAAATCCACAATAGTTAGTTTAAGCCAGCTAGCCACGTAGGAAGGTGTAGACTTCCTGACTGGTTGGGGTCCTCGGGATGGTAAACACCAATGACTGGAGACAACTGGTGATGTGGTTGAAAATCTTTCTCAATGGCTGGGACAGATGCATCTACTCCTTGTGACTCAGAATTTCCAATGAAACTACATTGTTCTTCGTTATTACTCTTCCTTTTGTCTCATTTCCCTGTCTACTGTCTCTATTTTTGCATTTCTTCTACTTTCTTCTCTTGCTTTGTGTGCTACATGAGGGGAGGGAGTGTGGCGACTTGAACTGCTGCACATCGGTGCAAAGTTCTATGTCGAAAACAAACAGTCAATTTGTAAGCAACAAGATGGATCACTGTTTCATGTAGGGGCCTGCTCTCTTATGTAGTGTTATACGTTTTGTGCACACTAGTTGTCTATGAACCACTGCGTAAATTTTGAAGTAGTTAATGAGTTGCAAAAATGCATACATTGTGTTTTCTATTCTGTCGATGTATTCTAACGCATTATTGTAATTGAGATTATGAAATTAAACGAGGTATTGAAGTTGCTTATAGGTAAGGAGGAAAGCGTCGGAACACTTGTCTGATTTGTTTGTACTCATATGACTGGATGTTGAACATTACTTAATCTCGTAAGTTGACTAGATTTTATCGTGTCCACTTTAGTCAGTATAAGACATTGATTTTTACAGCTGGTATAAAAGTCTAATTTTTGAGTAAATAGGGGAGGGGTGTATATATTTTGAGCATCGAAATTTGGGACATCCATCAATGACTTGCATACTAGTGCGTTCAGTCAAATCCATAGACATCACTATGAATTTTTGATGTATGGTGAAGTTAGAAAGACGATGAGAGCTTAGCGCGATTAGTAGGCCATCCGGTTTGGTTAACGTATCTACGCCAAAGTCATCCACCTTAGCTACAAATCTCCATTTCTGTATGTGTTAGGTGACTTAATTTTTTGCAGAGTTGAACATCGATCCGTCTGCTTTCCCACCCCCTTTATACTTGACTCTTCGTGTTACTGGATGACGGATGTCATTATTAAAATTTACTAGAATATTTGAGAATTCCAGACAAAATGTCATCTACATGTTAAATAGTTCTTTCTTTCGGACAGCAGTGTAATCAGTTCTATGAAAAGTTTGTTCTAATTGGTTGAATTATGAAGAATGGTGGCTTTGTTAGTGTCAATTTTCTTACTAATTACCACTGTCATCATGAAAATACTAAATTGGTACATTATGGGTATCGAATGATGCACCACGCAGGAACTCATTGTTTGTACGAGGGTTGGGTTAGTACCCGTACTCCCAGATTGGGTCAGGTGGTTGTCTTGAAGGACTATCCCTTCTCATGCCTTTGACTTAAAGTCTGATCCACAAGACAGTGAAGCTGCGTCAGGAGCTACGTCCCCATAGTTTCCGATCCGATCCGTTTGGGTTCTGGAGCCATGTACCCCAGCATAGGTTTAGTGTCATGGTTTTCTATCTGCCCTAGGTAGACTTACATATCCAAGAGTTTGGTTGTAAGCGTCAGGTATCTGCATTTGAATTTTCACTTTTGTGAAGGACACCCGCAGCGACTCCGTGTATTGATCGACCATGGCCGCCTCTGTAGAACTACTTGCGCCTGATGACATCGTTTAGGTAATCCTGAGGTCCGGCGGCATATGTGTGGATACACGGTGAAGGTCACTTTACACTGAATGTGATCATCATGAAACACCGGCTTCGGTGGCTTGGATATGTGCTATAAATGTCATCCCAGATGCTATAGAACTAGATGGGAACAGCAGAGATGTAGTTAGCCTGTGACAGCGTGGCAGTGGGATAAAGGATATTTATATTGGTTAGGTTAACATCCGTTGGTACATAACGCCTCCTTTGGTGGGATCGAAGAGATAATTCGATTCGGTGGCTTGATATATTATCGGGTATAGGCAAAAGTCACAATTAGTGGTAAACATATTGTAATTCCCTCCTTTCTTCTCAACCTCTGTGCTTTTTTACTGCTAAGAAAAAAGGTTAGAAGTCAGCAACATGGTGGCATATTTAGTTGCAAATCAGAATACTTCTACGTAACCAAGGCAAAGAAGCTAACGAGCCTCATTTGGATTAACAGAAAGTTGTTGTTTTGTGTTATTCTCAATTGTTCTGTTGAGTCACGCAAGCTTATAAATGAATGTATCTGACACTGCAAGAAATTTCATTTATTTCAAAGCTCATTTTAGACAAATGATGTCGACTGTAGCCTTTTTTAGCAAATGAATTCAGTGCACAAAAAGATGTCTATTTAAAATTACAACCAAAAGAAGGGATAATGTAGATTTCACTAAGAGACACCAGTAGTTGGAGAATCACTGAACATCTAAGAGTACTGGATAACTATTTCGTCCTTGTTTGTAGCTTTAGAGTACGACTGGTTAGCTGGTTTTGACATAGAACTTTGCAGAGAAGTACGGCAGTTCAACTTACCACATTCCAAGTGAGAATAAAGAGATACTCAGAAGGGACATGAGTTCCTTCAAGGTTGCAGATACGTCTTGCTGACGAGTGCCAGCTAGCACGGAACCTAGGTCCAAGGCTTCCTGCCGATTGCCTCCAACCATCTAAGAACACTGATAAGCAGAAACTTAAGTTGGAAAGAACTGTAACATGGCAAACATTAGGGTTTAACGGATGTAAGAAATCACAAAGAGTGGAATGCGCCATTATCGAGAACGATTTCGAGCCATATCACCAATTGTCTCCAGCCTTCATTAGTTCTTACCATCCCGAGGACTTTAAGTAGGAAGCCTACATCTCTCAACGTGACTGGCTGGAACTTACTGTCAAGGCCTCTACGGAATAATTCCAAATTGTGGTTTGACCATCATCACTAGCTCTTTTCCAACCTGATCCCATATCAGATAATATAGCCCGTCGTCGAGGAAGGCGATGGCTAGGCATGTGTAACACATCTCCTAACTATCTTAATCGATGAAGCTTCACAACTCCATCGACTGATTTCCCCTTCCTATTTAGCACTCGACCGATGCCTAACCCCAATGTTTCTCACCCTACTGTGACACGAAACGCGGGAGACAGAGCTCAGATACCCCCATAATCAAAGACAGCTGGCTAGGAGTTTCATGTCTTGTACTTTCAATCAACGACCATGTCTCACAGTCATAAGGGAGGACGGAGCGTACTGCTTCTGTACATTACACACGTCCCGTGATCGATAGGCAGTTGGATATCACGTCTACTAAGCCAGAGATGGTGTAAGTTTGGGAATGTCACATGAACCTTTTGTATCTCTGTTGAGATTTGGAATTCATTGGCCATTCATTTCTATCGACGTAACTGAATAATCAATGGGCTCGCAGTGTGTCCTGAAGGTCTTAGGTTTTATCTCTAGTTGAGAGGGGGTGTGAGTGCTCACTGGTGAACAGTCCCGAATTTCGGTCAAACAGCTGCCCAATGCTCCCTAGTTTCCAGTGATTCTTTCACTGATTCCCGTTCCTAATCTAACTTGAAAAGAAATAATCACTCGATGTTGATGTTCCATTGGAAATAACATTATTCTTGCTGAGTTGAGTGAATTAGTAATTTTGCCTATTTGGCCAAGTTAAACTTTAAGCACCACTAACTGCCAATGAAGTGCGACTGCATCAATGACCTTGGAACGCTCATTGAGCAAGTTAGTGAAACCTGGCAAACAATGTTATTTGGTTACAGGATTTCATCATGAGCTGACATTGGTTAGAGAATCATTGGAAAACCACCAGGAAGTACTGGACAGCTGTTTCGTCCTAGTCTGGGACTCTTCATCAGTACATACCCACACCACGAGGTTCGAACCCAGGACCTTCTGGTTACAAGGCGAGCTCGTATACCATTAAGCCACTGGGACCCGATCCAATGGCCCATGAATTCTAACTTCTGCCAATTCACGATATAGCGCAACCGCTAGCCAATGTCTTCGGCGAGTATCTGTCCTCACACCCGACCTGCTGCACCCTACTGGTCACGACTTCCCACTGGAACCCCAGGTAACTACCCACCTGGATAGGGCCAGTCGCCAGTGAGCATCCCATTGATATTCAAGTATTGGTTTGTAGGGATTTGGTTGATTGGTTACAGGATTTCATCATGAGCTGACATTGGTTTTCCAATGGTTCTCTAACCAATGTCAGCTCATGATGAAATCCTGTAACCAACCAACCAAATCCCTACAAACAAATACTTGAAATAATGTTGTCATAATCAATAAAACATGCTCATCGAAGTGTTATGTTATTAAATGAGATACCTGGCAAGTTTCAGCTTAGGTTTGGGAAAGATTCGGTTACGGTTTAGGCCAAAGACAAGTTAGGGTTAGGTTAACCTAATAAAGGTGACATTAGGGTTGGTTCTAGTTAGATTACACTTAGTTTAGGGATATTTTCACGTTAGGGTTAGGTTCAGGAAAGATTAGGGTATTTGTTGGATTTAGAAGAACTAAATAATTACATGCATAGAATATGGTAAAATTACTCTGTTAATATAAGAATAGAACTTGTGCACTGTGGCAGAGTATAACTCCATTATGGATAATTTCTTTTGATAAAGTCACACTGTTATACAGTAATATTTACTGATGACGTTTTGAGCAGCATTTATTGCTCAGTAAATATTAATTTATTGCACTGTGGGACTGTATCAAAGTAAATTTTACCCACAAGGGAATTATACTCTGTTGACACTCCAACCTAAAACTGAGAGCTATTTTTATCACATGTGAGAGGAAGTCATATCCTCTGTAACACTTTCATACAGTTTTTATGCTTTTTTTCCCCCATAAATATATGCATTGCATACACAAAAAAGTGCCTCCTTCACGTGATTGGTGCATTCGAGGTCATTCGCTGATTGGTAGTTAGTAGTGGTGCTTAAAGTTTAACTTTGCTGTTTAATGTGAATCACAGAATTGTGTTCAAAAACTATTGAAGGTATCTGTGTTGTTGATGCTTTAATAAAGACTGTCGTAATCTTCCTGAATAAAATTACTAATTAGCTAACTCTTACTGTACTATATATATTGCATTAATAGAATGTATATTTGTTTGTTCTGTGTGTGATTTTTAAGATGAAATTTATGCGAGTTTTTTTATAAAATGTGATTTCAGGTAACACCGATTCACCCGGTTTTTACAAATCAAAATATATCACCAGCCTGTGAAATGGAGAAGACTTTATCACAGTTGGATTATCGTCTAAAGGATACACCATTACAACACAATAATGATAATAATAATAATAATAATAATAATTGTGATAGCCATAATAATGATGCAACACATTACTCACTTTCATTACGTAACCGTGAAGTGGTAAGTGTAGTATAGCATTTCTTTTGTATCGACTCCCTTTTAGCCTTTTTTTCATTGTCACTATTTTAAGTAACAACAAAGTGAGCAAAGAAATATGCTCCTCATCACATGGCTGTACACTACTAATATATGTATGGTTTTTTTACATGAAAAGTTTTACCAATCATGTGGTTATTATTTCAGTCCATCAGCTTTAGCTATTGGCGGGTTGGGGTTGGATGGGTGAAATGAAGAGGTTGAAAGTCACCAAAAAAAATAAATAAACTAATAGATGTTAGTAAACATGATATCCAAGTTTTGAAGCAGGGAGAGGTGAAAATGAATTAATTACGGAATTTAAGATGAGTTAATTCGTGGGGGTTAGCAACAAGTTACTACATAATCAAGAAATTTGTAAAATAGCCATAATAGCTAAGAAGAGTTACGTAAAATACAAACAAGTTAATGGAATTAGCTAGAATTGTAAAAATAACAAAGTTGAAACAAAGTTACAAGGGGAGGAAAACATTTCTAAAAAACTTGATACATATTATGTATCTAAAAGAAAAGAAGGCGTTCAGGGAAGAGACTCTTCGGCGAATTCATTCACTGAGCTGTACAATCGCATTTATATACAATTTTGTTTGTGTGTGTGTGTGTACATTAGACTTATAAAGTTTAGATAATTACGTAATATAAGTATTATTTGGCTTGGAAACAAACGTTAATTAGATAGAAAATAAAATAGAATAAAATTGATTAAGTGAACTGGATGACGTAATACAGTTGAGTAGAATTCACAGTAGGTCAGGTTGGCAACGGTGTTAATGAGTGGTGGTTAAAATTAATTAAGGGTGGGGGTAGAGAATCGAATCTGGACACCAAGTCAAACCACAAATAAACTTCAAAGTTATCTACAGAATACAAGGCAATCTTGCTAAAAGTGTACGGATCAAACTTGTCCACATCGCAGAAGCAATGGCAATTCATCTGCTAAATCCTGAACTCTGCATACAAAAGAAATTCGTTCATTCATTAAATCTACAATGGACGTAATCTTTCTTCATTTCAATCTTACTAATTGTATTATGTTGTCTTTGGCATTTTATTATTTCACATCTTCATTTGTACTATTCTCTACCCCACCCTTTTGTAATCTCTAGCCTCATTAACAATGTTGCTAACTCGACCCACGTCCAATTTCTAGTCAACTATATTACGTCATCCGATTAACTTACTTAATTTTCAACTGTATTATTCTCTACCCCCATCCTTATTTAGTTTTAACCACCACTCATTAACACTGCTGCCAACCTGGCCTACTGTGAATTCTACTCAACTGTATTACGTCATCCAGTTCACTTAATCAATTTTATTCTATTTTATTTTCTATCTAATTAACGTTTGTTTCCAAGCCAAATAATACTTATATTACGTAATTATCTAAACTTTATAAATCTAATGTACACACACACACAAACAAACAAACAAAATTGTATATAAATGCGATTGTACAGCTCAGTGAATGAATTCGCCGAAGAGTCTCTTCCCTGAACGCCTTCTTTTCTTTTATATGACTGAATGGGGATTTTCAAGTTATTATGTATATGAATAAAGCAAGAACAACAGTTGTTTGTGCAGAATAATATGGTATACCATCATTGTTTATTTCGTTGGCTTCTCATCAGTTCAACTGCTCACAGCCTAAATAAACTATGAAGTTTATGTACAGAAAAGGTTCAGCATACTTGCAAATTTCTCATGATATCAGTTGACAGAAGGTTACGCAATTAGTGAACAGTGCTCAGAAAGTGGCTGTACAAATTTCTCATGAACACACAGATTTTGCTTGTTCGGATGAATTCCGACTGCCTTTGCTGTATGTAAAAGTCGCACTGGTAGGCCATGCGAGAGGGGTTGGGTTATATTACCGAAAACGGCGTATGTCAGTAACCACTGCAATTAGAAAATGGGGTCTGTTTTCGCAATATATTGGGGGGGGGTGCATATACACTGTATGATTCATTTTATGTATCCTGTAAAAATATTTTTTTATGCTAAACAGATTGGTTAGTTCAAGTGCCGATGACATTGGTATCTATTCTTTACCTTTATTGCCTTTATTAGCAACTCGATGTGCAGATATAAGCAAAATACGTCTACTACTATATTATATATAATCGCAATTTGCACCTATCTTCCATATTGTGTGACTATAACCTTGTGTATGGGTGCTTCTATGCCTTACTTCCATGTTTCTCATGTTGTGTGTTTCACAGGCATCGTTCACTTCTTCACTACAGCATTAAATCCATCTCTCCGCTTTTCGATATCCCTGCAGATGATATACATATTTTTATGTGTCTATATATACTACTACTTATAAATTTTGTCAGTAGGCCAATGCCACAATTTTAATTTTGTATTGTACTCATTTATTTATTTATTTGTTTGTTCATTTTTCAATGAAGGCCGTTCAACTCACTCCAATCGATTTTTCCAATCCCCTTCATATGTCACCGTATAATCCTTCAGATGAACACAGACAAGACTGTCAACAACAACAACATCAATTTCAATCCCCAGGATTGAGTAAACCTGCTGGAGCTGGCAAAAAGTCGAGTTCATACACAAAACGATTAAGTCGACACTTTCGTCATGAAAATATGATATTGAATCGTTCATATATGGTGAGTTATTTGTTCAAAATTGTTATAATTAAATTTTTCAAGTGTTAGTAGTTTGTTGTAGGGATTTGAATTGCTTTCAGTTAAACCATAGAGAGAGAGAGAGAGAAAGAGAAAACCTATTTACAGAAGACTCAGATTCTAGTCGATTGTTCCTATTTAAAGTGTGATGAACGCTTGAACAAAGAAAGAGCAACTGATTAAGTAGGATAATAGGACTTTTATCAACACCTGTTTTCTCTGGCTGCATACTGAAGATCGTCAGATGTGACTGGCCAGAGAATATCAGCAACAAAAACTCTCTAGGAACAAACCAACCAACAATTTATGTGCCGGGGACAATAGAGCTGGATCGAACACATCGTCGGGAAGGCTGTTGGGTGACATCGCGAACCAGACAGACCCTCGACTAGAATCAAAATGGGGAAGGACGAGATCGGTCTAAGTCTGACGGTGACATGAAGGAGATCGTGTGAGAGGAAGGGATGGAAGCTTGTGGGCAATCGTGGAGTCAACTGAAGAGAATAGGGCATAATGGAGATGCACTGTTGAAGTCGTATGTTCTCCATGGGATCCCAAGGGAATAATAATAACAACAGAAGGATATCATTATGGATACGATTTTATTTTGATAAACTGTCACACAGTGTTATACAGTAATATTAACTGATAACGACGTTTCGAGCACAAACTATTGCTCATAATCATATCAACTCGTAGGAAAAAGCTGCCCATTGAAGAAATTATTTTAGGAATTCAGTTTTGCCTCACATCTACTATCTTTAAATTCCAAGGCAAAATATATAGACAAACACAAGGTTTAGCGATGGGATCACCAATATTCCCTATCATAGCAGATATATTTATGGACAGCTGGGAACATATTGCTCTTTATACATTTAATCCTACTCCAAAAATATGGTGGAGATATGTGGATGGCAGTTTCACACACAGTGTTAAAAACAGAACATATCTCTAGCTTCTTCACACACATACAAACTCACTAGTAGAGGGAATAAAATTTACGTTTGAATCGGATAATGAACAAGGCGAATTAGCTGTGATGTTAGATTGTAAAATAAAACGAATAAAAGAAGGTAAACCGCACACTAGCGTTTATAAAAAACCAACGCATTCTAGTAGATATTTAGACTTTAATTCATCTCATCCGTTATCTGTCTGTGAAGACAGGCTTCATTAAGTGTCTGTCTAACAAATCGAGCAATAGCACCAAGTAGTACAAGAAAAGACCTAATTGATGAAATAAAACAGAAGAGGCGTTGGTGTTAAATAACTATCCTCTAAAATTCATTAGGAAAATTGAAAAAGGCCAAAATAAAAATAATTGTGAAACTAGTAATGATAACATAAATAAGAGAGAATATAAATCATCTACAGTTATGCCATATAAAGAGGGGACATCTGAGACCCTACGTAGAATTCCAAATAAAGCAGGAATTAGAGTGGTGGCATTCAATTGATATAAGTATAAAACTTGGGCACTGTGGTAGAGTATAATTCCATAATGGATTAGAATTTATTTTTAAATCACACAGTGTAGTACAGTTATATTAACTGATGACGTTTCGAGCACAAACTGTTGCTCATAATCATATCAAGTTACTCACACAACTTCTTTCCTTCATTTATATACATGTGTGGAATCGACTAGATATTGGAATAAAATTCAATATGAGATAATGTACATTCAGAAATAATAGTACGAATGTTATTAATCCATTGCAATTAGATGGGAAATACAACGAGTGTTTTAACAGTCATAATAAGTTGATTGATAGAATGTTTTGATGTGTTTGAATGGAAATAGAATACAATTTAAGATTATTTATTATCCGCTTCTGATTTGACTGGTGGAATCCTTATTCATCGAGTCTACACCCAACACAGAGCTGACTCAATGCAAATACCAGAAATATGGCAGATATTATTACCGCCGGTCAAATCAGAAGAGGATGATAAATAATCTTAAAATTCTATTTCCATTCAAGCACATCATAACATTCTAACAATCAACTTATTATGACTATAAAAACACTCGTCGTAATTCCCATCTAATTGCAATGGATTAATAACATTCGTACTATTATTTCTGAATGTACATTATCTCATATTGAATTTTATTCCAATATCTAGTCGATTCCACACATGTATATAAATGAAGGAAAGAAGTTGTGTGAGTAACTTGATATGATTATGAGCAATAGTTTGTGCTCGAAACGTCATCAGTTAATATAACTGTACTACACTGTGTGATTTAAAAATAAATTCTTATCCATTATGGTGGCATTCAAACCTACAAACTCAGGAAGGAAGGACAAGCTCTATAGGTTAAAGGACCCAGTTGACCCAATTAGACAAAATAATATAATTTACAAAATACCCTGCAATGACTGTGCGTTAGGTCAACTACATAGGTCAAACTAGTAGGTTGGGAGTAATCAGATTGTTGGGACATAATAATTTAGCTAAGGTAAGAATGGTTGACCCCGAAAAGATAAGTAATTTAGAAAAAAAGTTCAGCAGTTGCACTGCATGTATTAACACACAGCCACACAATAGGGTGGGTGGAACAGAGTCAAAATCCTAAAAGGTAATCTAGGTAGGTGGAGAGAGAGGTTGATTACTGAATCCTGTCTGGTTCAGCGAGTCTACACCCAACACAGCACATGCAACAGAAATGACTCAATTCAAATACCCGAGATACCTATGGAAAATATTATTACCACCAGTGAAATCAGAGGAGGATAATAAATAATCTCAAAATTCTATTTCAATTCAAGCACATCACAACATTCTAACAAGTTACATATTTTGACTATAAAAACACTCGTCTTATTTCCCATCTGATTGCATTTGATTGATAACACTCATATTATTATTTCTGAATGTATGTTATCCCATATTGATTTTATTCAAATGTCTAATCATCAATTCCACTCATGTATATAAATAAAGCAAGAAAGTTGTGCGAGTAGTGACTTGATATCATTATGAGCGGCGATAGTTTGTGCTCGAAACGTGGTCATCAGTAAATATCACTATATAACACCACTGTGTGATTTATCAAAACAAAATCTTATCCATAATGGAGTTATACTCTGCCAGCACAGTGCCCAAGTTTTATACTTAAATCAAGAAGGATATCATTTTATTTTGTTGGATATTGCCAACTACATACAACCTGATATTATCCAATACGCGCATACTAACACTTGTTAGTCTTGCCTTTTAACTTGTCCCTCGTATAGTGAATTACATAACACTGGTGGCCTCAATCTCCGTGTTATAAATAACTAAAGTATGCAAATATATTGTGTATGCTGTATGCAGTTGTTCACAAGATCCGACAAATAAAATGTGATATCCAATTATTTTCAGTGTGTGTTGGTTTACAGGGATTTGATCGGCTTCTTCAAGTTAAGTTCTGAAGTGATATCGATTAGATAGAGACATTTAAAAAAACAACAAGCAGGGAGTACACTGGATATCTGTTTCGTCCTAGTTAGCGACTCTTCATCAGTACCCCTCCGTGACTCCACCGATGACTGTGTCAACCCAGGTTCCAATGGGTTGCTAAGCAAGCTTACCTGTCACTTGAAAATTGGTTCCTCCAACTGATGTCATTTCGCGATCTCTTACCTGAAATAATATCAGGTTGTTGTTGTTGTTCAAGTTTATCAATAGGAAATAATTCTTTTTTGTCAGTCAATAATGAGTGGTTGTCATTCAATCGCATTAAAACTATTTTCCACTTATCTTAAATGTTTGTATAGGAATTACATGGAGCTGGGGATGCTAAAGGAGCCTTGTTAAAGATTTGTGGACAAACCAACTACAAAACATTTACTCAACTTTTGGTTCCTGCGTAAGTTACACTTATTTCTGAGGTAAAAAATAAGATTTCGTTTGAAGTAGTAGTTGTTGTTATTCGTTTTTTTGAGTTCTCTGTTGGGCAAAAGGGGCACTTCTTCATTGCTGTTTCATTCCCCTGCTGTCGTTTCCCTTTATCAACTGGTTCTATGATTACTACTGTGGTGAGTGCTATCAGTAAGCGAATTCAGAAAAGTAACAATATGTTATGGTGTACTGGAAAAAGGCAATAGAAGAAAAGAACTGTGAGAAGAGCGTTACAAACACTGTACAGAATCTAACAAGCTACTGAATGTAGTGGGTGATATTCGACCACTTTGCTAATGATATGCAAATAAAGCATTGGGGATATGGTTTTCTAAATTTATGTACCTGAAATGAGTTTATCCTTTGAGCCTCATTGGTCTTTCCTTTCTTACACTACTATTCATATAATCTCCCCTGTGTCACCCTCACGTGCTCAGTTGGTCGCTTCAATCGATTTTCGCTCCATACAGTGCATTATTTTGGCGCCGGGACAAGGGTGATCACGAATGCCATGGCCCCAGGTGGAGGCTCGCTTTTGTACTTCGGCGTGTTGAAGCCTGCGACGATCCCTAATCAGGCTCGCTCGGAGTGGGGAGGTCTTCGGATCATCCCTTTATTGTGCGTCGGTGGCACAGTTGTTAGCACTTTTGCCGACCGTGCACATGGTCCGGGGTTCGATCCCCTGCCGACGCACACCCGATATCTTTGGTCGGCCTGCAAAATTTGGGCTACCGATATCCATGCTGAAAATTCCATACTTGTACTGAAAATACGGTGTGGCATCAAGCTGTAATCAAGAAATATAATAAATAGTTTCTTGTCTGGTGATAGATTGTGAACGGGAAAAGACAAGAGATTTGGTGACAGGCTTTCCTATTGGGGAAAAAAACAACATCAAAATTTTACATTTTTAGCCATATTTATGGTCGTCTAGGTCAACGGACAATAAACTGTTTTGATTGGTTGCCGATTTTCTGAAGGTTAAACCCTGAGATGATTTCCTGACCATGATGTAACCCGGTGTACAGAATTGAGAAATAAGTACTCTTAATTCTATAGCGATTGAGTTAAACTGTTGTTTTCTACGTCTATATATACTACTGATAAATCTTGTCAGTAGCACACGCCACTGTTGTTTTTCCTTATTTCTTTTAGGTCAATTTAACGCTTGTTTCATGTTGTTCACAGTGCATTAAGTGGTACCACTGTGGCGTGTGCTGCTACTGATACGATTTATCAGTAGTATATATAAAAAGAGATGGTCATTGGCATAAAACATCAATTAGCAGGGAGATAGATTGGATGTCAAAGAAAGCAAATGAACAATACAGCGTTGCAGAGATACATGGGAAACATGGGAAAAGGAACACAAAGGAACGTAACATAAAGGCCAGAAGTAGCAGGCACAACACGGAGGATCTGTGCAAAAGGTGATTTGAAGATAAGGTATACATAATTCCCCGCATATAGAGATATCGAATTCCAAATAAATATTCCTTTACCAAGTCCCTTGTCTTTTACCGTTACAGTACCTCTATGTATTTACACCTTACACAAGACACTAAACAGGCTTATTCTGGGTTTTTGTTTAGATGTGCTGTATTAGTTCAGGAATTATTTTGAACGTTTGATCGATTGACTGAGGGTGGTTGGGTGGGTGGAGTGAGTGCCTCTTTTCATCTGCATCAATCTGAATAACTGATTATCCGTTTTTTCGAATTCTCTACAAATTTCATTTCGAAATTTATCTAACTTTATCATATTATAAAATTTATTTCCTACACAAAAATCAGTTTAATTCTCATTTCTCATCTAAATTCTCTTAAGTATGATGAACAAATATATTTTGTTATTGTTGTTTTTGTTGGAAATTTGATAGTCGGCGAAAAAATTTGAAAAAAATCGGTGAAGGGTGTTTCGGTGAAGTATTCCGATGTCCGGCTGAGAATCGCCGATCAAAACATGTTGTCATGAAGTTTATACCAATAGAAGGAGCTGTTAAATTTAATGGTGAACCACAGAAGACTTTCGACGAAGTACTTTCTGAAGTAATTGTATCTAAGTACGTTTTTGTATTTAAGATTTAAATTATTTATCTACATTTTGGTGTGGAGAGCTTTCATAGTGAGTTGATTTTGTGCAAGTTAGTAGCTATATGGCAATTATTATTATTATGATTATTATTCGTTGCTTGCCTTCCCAGTGGAGAGTGAGGCCCTCAGTTTGCGTTTCCCACTCAGATTATCTTCTGCACATCAACCTCGAAGGCTCAACTCGTCACTTCTCGTTTAGGTTCCTTTTGAGGGCCTGGCGTGTGATGGATGTCATTTAACAAATCTGTGATCTACAGACCACAATGACATTCATCAACAGAAAGAGAAATTCATGTGGACAAAAGGTCAACTTTTTCAGGTCAACAAATAATTGGTACTGATACACAATGTCGACTAATTGTTTTTGAGGAAATTTCCAGAAGTCACCAATCATCACTTTCAAAGTGTTCCCAGGAGGGATAACTAATATAAACTCGTGGAGAATCAAATCAAAAAAGCTCACCTCAAATTGAAGTATATGCTCTGAAGTGTGTGTGTGTAATGTTGTCTAAAAAGGCAATGAAAGCTTCGCAAATTAAACCATCCAGTTCAGAGAACACAACTACGTCAATAGAGTTCTTGACTGGATCCTGACGATTGTAGCAAATTCTGTTGTAACTTAAGGTGTTGATATATGGAATTGGTGTATTTATTTCAAATACTTGTTTAAATTCATATGTTTACTTTGTTAAGATATTGACCCAACAAGTTTTTAGGTGATGTGTGTGTGTGTGTGTGTCGGTAGTTATTCAGTGGTAGAACGCTCGTCAATTGTGCGCGTGTCCCTGTTTCGAATCCAGGCCGGCGTACTTCTGAATCTTGCCTAGTTAATGGTCGTTAGTAAGCCCAGTGGTGAAGAGGTAAATCTTCCGTCACTTTACAGGACTTATTATAGGTTAGACAAGGTTTAGAAGTTGTGCATTCGTCGGGAGTCGAAACCGGGTTACGTGTGTGGTTGTTACCAGGATTCTGCCACTAAAATACTTACAGATGTACTGATCATCGGTTCTTCAAGTGGGATTTATTTAGCCTCTATGTTGCCATATAGTAAAATGTTGTCGTCTGCGCACTCACGGTTGAATAGTCTCAGACCAGATAGAAGGTATATGTACCGCTCTCACTATCGCTACATTCTAGACCAATTGATTGAAACCAGACTTGTTTACAGTGTCTCGGATAAGTTACTAGGCTTGCAACTTTTAGTGAATACAAGCTCTGCTTTCATGTCTCTCCTCCACACCCCTTACGAGAATCAATCTTCATGGTCGTTGTGTATATAGATACCTTAATCAGATTGTTGTAATGGCTATTCATTGGAATTGACCTATGGCGGTAGATGACTACTGGCTTCTGACCCATTTTTGTATTCCGACAATTGTGGGTCCCATCCAGGATCCTAAACTAGAAGTGAACACCTTTTCAGTATTCCCTGCTTATTACTGGTTTCACCAACTGATGTCGATTCGTGGCCAAATTATTAGTTTACAGTAATTTCAAGTCGTGTAATAATAATAATAATAAAATAACAATAATGTTAATTGTAGTACTTTTCCGTCCAAACCATTTTTAAGTAGAATGGGTCAAGATATATGACTTGTTTGGTTACTTGAATAACCCAAGCTCGTATTAACAATTTAGTACGGCCGGTCGAGGGCAGGTAGACTCTGGTCTTTCTCTCAGAATATGGCCACGCCTTTATAGCCCCTGTCAGGTAAGTCGTATTCACTGCCTTCATGTCAAAGGGGTGTTCTCTGCATAAGCGAATGGGCGAGTTCGAAAGTCAGGAGCTTACAACCGAACTGGTGGATATCCAAGTCTACCTAAAGAAACTGGAAAATCCTGATTCTAAACCTATGGTGTACATAGGTGTACACGAATCCGATTGTATCGAATCGGTTATGGTCGTGTTCTAGCCACCAGGAACCATGGGAACACTACTTGTGGATCAGACTTCAAGTCATAGATTCGGGAGTTGTCCTTCTTTAGCTTCGTTCTGGACGGATGTCCAACTAGTATTACAGTCTTCGCACAAGCTATGCAATTTAATGTGCCTCCTCCCTCATGTGGTGCCTATAAAGTACCAAGTCTGTTGTAAATTGTAGTGAAATAATATGAATGGCGTAATCCAATGATCAATTTAAGTTTGCATCTGATGAATAGGCCGTTGTATAAAAACAGATATACTGTCGAAGAATCCAAATCAGAAACTCATTTGTTCAGATCGGAAAAGATCCTGAACATCTAGCATTGCTGCCAGAAAACTAATCACTGCTTCAGGATACTATGTACGATAATCGACTCGAAAATATCAGGAAAAATATGTTGGCAATTATTTATATAGAAAACAAAGATTGAGCGAAGAAATATTTACTCTTTTCAATTAGATCCTCATCTCACTCTGGCTCTACTCTAATATACACGTGTAGCATTTTTATTACAATACACAACAGTTTACCAATCAAGTGGCACTGAAATGTTTGTTAACAATAATTAGTCAGTGTCAAAATGTCAATGGGTTGATAATTAACGAAGAAAATCAATACACACAATTAAAAGGTAGAAGTGGTTAGAATAAGTTAATTTTACAAGGATAACACGTAATTAAAAATGAAATGGTCAGAAAAAATAAAAATAAAATAATTGGGACAATTATAATTTTTAAATGTTTAGGGGGAGGAGGGCGAAGTAGTCCGGTTTATACCTCATGTAACGATGGTAAGCCAAGGTAAGGAAAGTGGCTGTACAAATTTCCTCTGAACACACAGGTTTGGCTTCTTCAAGTGGATTCCTATTGCTTCAGCTGTCTGTAGAAGACGAACTCGTAGAGCAAAATTAAGATTAGTAGGAATGCAGTAAATAATTTTAAATGCAGTATTAACGTCAACCTTATGCTCACTATCATCTACAAGGTGTGCTAAAATAGAGCTACGAATAGATCTTGTTTGTCCCTTGCTTAACCACGCTGGATGATGTTCGGAAATACGATGATGAACCTACCTGCCTAATTGTACGCCCAATGTAGCTGGCTCCGCAGCTGCAGTCAAACTGGTAGATACACATAGAAGAGGCAAATTTAGTTAGTTTATCCTTATTTCTCGAACGTAGAATAGGGATGGTTGTGTAGAGACAACGTACCTCCAAAGCCTCAGGATGGTCGGGGGTGGGTGTCTTGCACTGCGGGTTGGCCACCCCTCCGCACACCTCTTGAAATGCTCCCATATGACTGGGCGTCATACATAGCCTCTCCTGAGGAAGTCCTACTCACTGCCTTCACGTGGCGGAGGTGTTTTTCACCAAAGTGAGAGGGCGAAAGCGGATGCCCGGCGCTCTTCACCGGGTTGACTGTCCATTGGATGACAGTCTAGGGGAGATGGCTAAACCCTGATTCCAAACCTCCAACGACTGGCGTATGAAACTCACTGGAGCTCACCGGCAGACGTATGGACAAAGGGCTTGTTGGATGTCCTGGATGTCTGGCCCCATTCAAAAAGGCGTATGAACCGAAATCCGGTCACCGGCTGCCAATGGATAGTGGACTCCCTACTCCACTCTTACTGCCTTGTAGGTCACACTTGGTTGTGTGAAGGCTAGAGCTGCACTCTCGAACAAAAGGCCGAGCGATTCTGGGGACATCACTCGTACCAAATTCCCATGAAACTTCATGAACTCTCTCGCAAAATCTTGCATCAGATCGCCGCGCCTGGGCAGTGATGATTCGAGATGTTTATGAAGCCGGCTCATCCTCCCGTAGGAGATAGCCGAAGTAAAGTAAGTAAAATAAGACAACGTACCTCTGCTGCATAATTAGCTCTCTTGACTGCATTCTTCAGGCGCTGTGTTATTATTTCGCTGATGTTGTGTCACCGAGGAACTGTATCGCTGCTTCAGGATACTATATACGCTGACCGACTCGAAGATATCAGAAAAAAACATACTGGCGATTTGAGGATTGTTTATTTATTTCTCTACTGACAATGAACCAAGGCTACAGAGTGGTTACTACATACAACACACAAAATCTATGAATACTGCATGAACATAAATCACAATAATAAATTCTGATAGTTTTCCTCCAGTTTTCTGTGAAACAATATACGATTAGACCACTATGGGCATTATGTTGCCTCCCGCTAAAGTGGAGATCAGTTCGTTCAACGTCCACCATTTAATTTTCGTTAACATTATTATTATTATTATTATTATTATTCACATCAACTATTTTACATTATCAAGTATCGCAACATATTTGATGTGTTTATTATTATATTTAATATTTTAGGGAATTGACAGCTCTTGGTATGGGCTTTACGAATTGTACTTCCGGTTTTGTAGAGTTGATAAGGTGAGAGTTCACCAGTTGGTTTTACTATTCACAGTGTGATTAAATTTGTTCCAGGTTAAATGGTGTAGAGTATTATTATTATTATTATTGTCAATATTATTAGTTCATTCATATATTCCCCCTGATGAATTTGCAATAAAGCAAGAACAACAGTTTTTGCAGAATAAGATAGTTTCATCATTTATTTTATTGGCTTCTCATGTTCATTCTAACTGTATATTAAAAATTTAAACGTATCTGCGGGAGCCGGGAGTGTTGGTGGCACAGCAGTAAGAATGCTCGCCGACCACGCCTCACGTGATCTGGGGTTCGATCCCCGGCCACTGACGCACTCCTTTACCTCGCTAAGCCAGTAATAAAGCTGGTAAAGAGCAAAGATTGGGCATGAGGTGGCTAGGAACCAAATCCTGTAAAAAATAAACACTTCTACGGAAACTTAAAGCCTCTAACTTGAAGCCCTATGTTCCACAGGGTTGAAGCCCTATGTTCCACAGGGAATGTGAGGGACTAATAAAAAAGTCTGCGGGAGCAGTTGGGAGAACAGAAAGAAGAAGGGCACACCTCCGATTTTTTGAACATGTACCAAAAAGCCTATGTCTCAGGGGAAAAATACTTACAGTGGTGTCTTTGCCAGACATCTCCTTGTGATACGGATCAGAATGTGGACATCAAGAAATTATAAACAGGCAGAATAGTTCACTTCTCCTCGAGTTTGCTGAGGCAATCTCTGTCAAACGCTCTTTCATTTGATTACTCTGTCTTTGGCTTTTACCTCACTGCCGTTTGATTTCGAGCGAATTCGCTTGTCTTTTGTTTCTATGATTTGAGTTGAATTAAGTACATTGTTACTTAATTTTAATAATTACTCATCATCCTACTCACCCCTATTTTCTTGATCACGGAACTCTTTTTGTCATTGTGTGCATACGTTGATTTTTGTTCATCAAGTTTGCTGCTTTCTGTCACATCGACATGAAGTAAGATTTGCGAGCTGTTCACAGATGATGAGAAGCCAACTAAATAAGCAATGATGGTATACTATCATCTTATTCTGCACAAACCACTGTTGTTCTTGCTTTATTTAAATAATATTGGTGACTATTGTTCTAAAGAATCGTCTAACTGGTTATTACGAAAAAGTGCGGTGTCTTTTGCAACCTGTTTTTTCGACGCTCTAAATAGTGTTTAAAAAAAAACACGAGCAAAATGCTGTATGAAGATACATACTACTAGAGGTGGTGGTAGTATGAGCAGTCAGAAGTTTCACTCGCTTTGTTCTTTACTCATCAATAGTATTCTCTCAGCTACACCGGGACCAGTAGGCTCCAGCAGGTCGAGTGTGAAAACAAATTCTTGCCACGGATGACATTGATTAGTACCAGTCACGTTATATTGTGAATTGGTCATTGGACTGAGTCCCAGTCGCTTAGAATGGTCTACGAGCTCGCCTTATAACCGGGAAGCCTCGAACGTTGACGGCGGGTGCATACCTCTGAAGAGTCATAAACTGGGACGAAACGACCGGCTGTCCAGTCCTCCTAGGCAGTTTTGCAGTGGTTACCTAACCTATGTCAGTTCATGCTGAGATCCCGTAAACATATTTTAAAGCCAAATAATTTGGAATCACTTTGACTACTAGTATTGTTAAGTGTTGGTGCATCCTGTTTATTCAACACTTCTTAAAACTTCACGATAAAGTTGTATACTTGCTAACGTTGAAGTCTCTTTAAGAATGCTCACGCATTCTAACTGTGCTTGCAGTAGTACCAAATTGCACACGATACTACCACAATATTTTGATTATGTAATCAGTCTCCTGTTTTCTAATTATGGGCGTTTTGTAGAGACTCGTCACGAACTAATACCAGTTACACAGACCACTGAAACCCATCAAGGAATACTGGACAGCTGTTTCTTCCTATTTTAAAACTCTTCAGTGGTGACCACTTATGACGCTGCCAACGATCAAATCCGGGACCTGTCGGTTACTAGGACAAGCTCGTTAACTATCGCCGATTAAATTCCCTTCAGTGAGCATCCACTTTGCCTTGACATGGTTGACTCCACGCCTCATTACAGCTTCAGGACATCTATCCAGGCCAAGCTTCACTCGTCAGTTGAAAGTCCAGTGTTTGATTGTTGCTTGAATCGTGAGTGAGCACTGTCGAAGAGTTCCAGAGTAGAACGAAACAGCTGCCCATTGTATCCTGGTTTTCAATGACCTTCGGCTAGTATGTTCCATTATGGCAAAATCTAAATATTAACAACTCAAGTTGTGTTACTCTTCAAACTTTGATTTATATTCATAAGTATTTTTCTAAACACTAGGCGTTTATATCCACTGACTGACTGGTCGACTGTTTTCAACATAGAACTTTACACAGAAGTGCTACAGTTCGAGTTCCCACTCTCCCTCCATATAGTACACAAAACAAGAGAAAAGAGTAAAGGGAGGTTCAAAATAGAGATAATAAACAGATGTGTGAGGGAAAAAGTATAGTAGTAATATGGGAGAACAATAGAGCTTTATTGAATATAACAAATCACAAAGAGTGAATGCATCTGCCCCAGCCATTGAGAACGAGGATTTTGAGTCATGTCACCAAATTTTCTCCAATCATCATTGGTTCTTAGAATCCCAAGGATCCTGACCAGGCTGGTCGGCTTAAACTAACTGTTATTCGCTCGCATCAGATAATCGTCATCCTGCTGTTACCTGTGGGCATCACTCGGTCAATGGATCGAGTTATTTTGTAAAGCAGTGGCTGACTGTGATCAGGGTGTTTCATTTTTGTTCTAAGTACTTCTTCAAAAGTTAATACAAGTACAACCTTGAAAGCGACGATTAAAAATGTACTTGCGACCGCTGGGAGTTTGAAGGTGCATCGACTGCACTTGGAAGTTAACCATGACAACCGCTACACCACGATGGATGGGTTCAGTTTCAAAATTATTTAGGTGTATTAACAATCTAACATGTTAACTGTTGTTTTTTCAGTTAAATAAACGAGCATTCTTTTACCTCTTTATCCTTTCAGAGTTCACCTTCTGCAAGGGGCATTCCCTTTGTATTTGAGGAAATCGTGGGAGGCATACGATAGAGTGAAAGGTTCTGAAAATGACCATCCAAGTATGAAAAAGATACATATTGGTGTAATTTTGTTTTTAAAAAGTGTATACGCATTATTAACTCCCTAACCTGATTGGTTTGTTCAGCGTATTATCATTATTATTATTCCCCAAGGTTCCACATCACATCTTCACTTTGTGGTGTTCTCTACTCCCCTCTTTAGCTGACTCCACAATTAACCGTAAGCTCTTATTTCCTCTTCACACGATCTCCTCCATATCACTCTCAGTTATCCTACCCGTGTCTTTCCATTCGAGTTCCACTTGAGCGATGGCCTAGCTGCCTCCAGTCTCTTCATCGTGTGTCCGATCCATCTCCATTTTCAGAATATTTGTTGAGCAACATAGTTCTTGGTTGTTTCGTTGGCTGTTAAAGTTCCTTGTCATTTATCTTCTCTGACCGGCTATTTGACCTTTAGCATGGGGTGAGGTGGGTGGTTGAAGCCTGTTTGGTGACACGCCAAATCTCTAATTCATAAAAAAGAAGAACTGACTGACTTAACGGCAACAGTAAGGGATAGACACCAACTTCAGACGACCTTGAAACAGCCAATCAGATTCTTCCAGGTGAAAAGTGGTACAAAGTAGTGTATCTACGATATATGTAATAATATGCTGCGAAAACTGGTCCCAGGTTCTCATAGAAGTGATTATAGACACATCAAACCAATGTATTCTCTATTCCTCTAGCTGTAACAGATACTGGTTGCATATACGCAATATACATTACTAAGGGGGAGAGCTTTGATTTCGAGAAGAAAGTGTCTAAAACAGTCACCAGTTATTTATGACTTACCAACCTATACAAACTTCCTCATATAAAGTGGTTGCATCTGAATGTATAACCATCAATAGCCCGGCAATACATATTTCCAGAGTTATTATCCCTCCACACATGCATGTTTTATTCCCCCCCTATCAACACAGACCAACGGACAGACATGGAGCCAGGTGAAGTCTCTAGCAGAGAACACAACGCAATGGAGACGCACGGCTGAAGCCCTATGTTCCTGTAGGAATTAAAGGATACAATAATAATAATAATCAACACATCTACAGAGAAGTCGAAAACCAAATCTAGGAGACACTTTCAAAGAGAAATATGACTAGGAACCATTTGTAATGCTGATCTATTTGATTGGTCAAATCAAGGTCATTTAACTTTGGTGTCTATTGTTTACTCTTGCCGACATTGACGTTGAAAATCTGAATCTTGTTTTTTCATCCTGGCTGTGAGTGCAGAAGGTTTCCCAACTGATTTCATTTTGATGAATGTCTGATTTGCCTTTCCTATTGTAACAGCAGAAAACAAAGGCCAGGCAACAGATCGTTTATTTAGGAAACCAACATATATTTATAGATTTTCATTTACAATTTTATAGATTATTGTTAGGAAACAAACACGGTCTTCTGATTGGTGGTTTGTCGCTGAACTTTAATCTTCCATCTCTTTGTGGCCGTTTCTTGAAGTTCAGATTATCCATCTACAAATTGTATCCGCCTACACAAAGTTTTCTGTGACTGGTTGTTGAGTCAGTCTTTGTTCTTGTTTTTTTCTCATGACCAATATTGGGGACGTACACATTGGCTGGCTTAAATTACTGTCTACCGATTTTGGCTAGCAGTCAGCTCTCACCACGCCATCATAGCTGGTTTTGACATCCTCATCCGTACTTTCACTTGTTGTACTTGAAACGATTCTGCCCTAGATATAAGTGAAAGGAGGAGGAGTTGACTTCTTTCAAATGCCAACTTTCGATAGTGATTAGTGCTTCTATCATTATTGGTTGGTTAGGTAGGTAGGTATCTTCATCACCTCCATCTTTTTTATGTTCACTTGAAGTCCTGTCTTCACTGCCTCCCGTCTCCTCTGTCAACCTTTTGGTTCTTCAAAAGAATGGTTATCGAACATAGAATACTCTTTTCATCAGGCTTTATAGTTATATCTACATTATAGTGAATGAATGTTGTTTAAATAACACCGAATCAATAATAATAATATCAGCGGATTACAGCTCAATAGCATCAACATAAAATAAGCTGAATGTCAGAAAAATTAAGAAAGATAATATTAAAAATTCATGAATTTATAGTCTCCGCTGAAGGCCAGCCTGGGCAGTAGTAGTGGCTGGCTGGACTTGCATCTTTTGCACACAGAGCACTCACTGGTTGTTTGGGGCGAATTGCAATAGCCTCTGCTGTTTGGAGCATGCGGTGCTTCAATGTTTTTGTCAGTTTATTTGGTAGTCGGTAGATGACGGTAGAGAAGAATTCTTCAATGCTGGCTTTGTGGCCTGTTTGAACCAGGTGGTCCAATATCGAACTGTTAATGGTTTTCGCTACACCTTTACTTAACCATAGTGGGAGATGTTCTCGAGTGAGCACGAAAAATCAAGTTCCTAGAGCAACGGCCGATATAACTCGCTCCACCACAGGAGAGCAGTTGAATTGGTAGATACAATTTGAAGTGGTTAGTCTAGGTACTTCATCTTTCAGTCGAGGAATCACCACCATCGGTGGTGTAGAGAATAAGATGTGTAGTTCGCCAGCATTAAAAGTTCTTTGAACTGATTTTCTTAATTTCCTCGTAATTATTCAACTTGGTATATCACCTTTGAATTGCAGTCGTATATAAAGAGGCTTCTTGTTTACAGATAGTGAGTAGTCCTTTTCCGCTCTCTTTGTCATGTGTTTCTTGATAAATTTTTCTGGATAGCTATTTCGATCAAAGTATCATATACAATGCTTAATTCATCTTCAATTACTTCTTCTGAGCATATAGCTCTAACTCTCTGGCTGAGGATCTTTACTAAATTTCTTTTGTACTTGATAGGAAGGAAGCTGTGAAAATGTGTATATTGTCCTGTCCATGTACTGTTTCTACGCAAATTTCTTTTTATGCTACCATCTGGTTTTCTTGTAAGGAGGACATCTACGAAGGCAGACAGGCAATTCTGTTTTGGGATTCCTCTTCGCAGGTGGATTTCATAGCCGAATGTACTTCATTGAATTCAGTAATTATTGTATTCCTATCCGAATCATTATCACGAAGAATGAAGGTGTCATCCATATACCGGCAATAAAGTGAGAACTTTCTGATAAGGTTGTCCAAAGGAGGCTATTTTCTAGTTTACTTAGAAAGAAATCTGCCAAAATGGGACCCAATTTGGAGCCCATCGCCACCCCGTCCACTTGTCTGTAAAATGTGCCGTCAAATTTGAAATTTACACTCATTGTACACCTTAATAACAATTCTTTTAGGATTTCAGTACGGATATGCCAATGTTTATCGACTGGTTATCCACTTGTTGGCATATGTAGCTAACCGTTTCTACTAGAGTTACATTCGTGAATGAAGATATTATGTCCGAAGGTATCATGGTTTTGTCCTTGATATTGATGTCTTTGATTTTGTCTACGAATTCAAATACATCTTTGACGCTATATTTCACTATCGTCTCATGCATTTAGGTTTCGAAATTTGTTTAACGTAACGGATGCTTTTGTTTTTGGCTTATAATTATCTTGCGTCTATTGCTTACAGTGATGAAGTGATCAATGCGTAGGCGGTGCATAGAAATGACAACATTCATGTTTAGCATATGCCAACAGAAGGTCTTGTTAACTTGACGTCACGTCGTGTAGTTGAAGTATAATACAACTTGGACTTTGAAAGCCTCAAAGACTTATTGTCGCCTACCAATGATTAGGAAGTTAGTGAAGTTGAATGATAGACTCTGGAACAGAGACTGTCGTATTCCAATGCCTAGATACACGAGTGATAAGGTGCACGCATCCAGTTGCGAACCCTCTCTTAGGAGGTCGGCGTTATGTCCTACTGAAGAATAGATGGATGTCTACTGTGCTTTTATGATTTTCATTTGTTTACTAATCGACATATACATATATATATATATATATATATATATATATATGGGAGTTGTGATGATATTGAGGTTAGGCGTCAAGTGTTAGGTAAGGAGAAGAAATCAATCGACGAGACTGTGAAGTTACACCGATTAAGATAGTTAGGACGTGTGTTACGCATGTATGCCTAGCCACTGATCGCCTTCCTCGACGGGCAATGTTAGCTGACATAGGGTCAGGTTGGTTGGTAACGAGCCAGTGGTGGTCAAACCAAAACATGGCTTCATCAGTCAATAAAATCCACAACAGTTAGTTTAAGCGAGCTAGCCACGTAGAGAAGTGTAGACTTCCTGACTGACTGGTTGGGGTCCTCGGGGCGATAGAAACCATTGGTTGTTTTTTTCCTTCACGTTCCCCAGTGGAACATAGGGCTTCAAGCAGTGGTTTGAAGTTTCTGTGGCAGTGTTTATTTTTACAGGATGGGGTTGCTAGCGTCATGCCCAACCTTTCCTCTTCACCAGCATTTTTTCTGGCTTAGAGAGGTAAAGGAGTGCGTTGGCCGGGGATCGAACTTCGGACCATGTGCATGGTCGGCGAGCGTCCTAACCGCTATGCCACCGACGCACGAAACCATTGGTGGCTGGAGATAATTGGTGATATGGCTGTAAATCATTCTCAGCGGTTGGCGCAGGTGCATCCACTCCTTGTGACTTATCATTCCCACTCAAACTCTATTGTTCTTCGATATTACTATTTTTCGCCTCATCTCTGTTCACTGTCTCTATTTTGCATTTCTTCTCTGGCTCTGTGTGCTGAGTGAAGTGTGGCTACTGGAACTGCTGCACATTAATGCAAAGTTCTATGTTGACACCAGACACTGTGCTGATATCTACCTAGAAAAAGCTTCTTTGTTCATAGATATCTTTGAGTAAATGTACCTAGTTCCCTTAGCCATCCATAACTTCCAGACATCCAACTCTAAGATGCGGCGTGTTTCATTTGTTGATTAGTTAACAATATCACTGCATAGCCAAATAATAGTTGAGAATATTTTTAAAACTGTTCTACTTAGTATTTGGTACATAGTGACGAATAGTGGAATCCAGACTGTTACTGCACATGACATCAGCTGGATAAACCTGCAATGCCCAATGATACTGGTAGTGATAGTTCTCCCACCGGGACTTGAACCTTGCACTCATTGTTTCAATCACAAAGGTGTTATTTCCTAGACACCTCTGGTTCTTCTTTGTGTTATCGCTGGTAGTGGATCGTTAGGGCTTCAAACTGTGAAGTTTTCAGTAGCTGTGATCGATAAGGTCGATAGCTTCATGTCCAACATTGTCTGTACATCGATAGGGAATCGTAAACGTGCAACGCCTTTTTAGTCTAGTATATTCAGCCAGTGAATCCAAATATGAATACATTTTAGAAGCTTATTAATTCACTTTTAATTTGTTGTATTTCGGCTTTCAATATTAGCATTTTTTTCTTTCTTGCTATTTTACTTCAGAAATCTTTCCCAAAGATCAATTATGGGTGGTTTTAGAGTCTTCCTTTTGTGGTGTACCACTTGAAAATAACATTGTAAGTTTTGTAGTATGCTTGAAGACTGATTGTAGATTTCAGTGTGTGTGTGTGTGTACTAATTGTTTTCTACCTATAGTATCCTATTACATTGTGATTTTTATCTGAAGGAAATATTACAGTTACCTTTTCTAAAAAGTAGTTGAAAGAAGATAACTATGCTGTGCCCATCTAATCAGTGAAGTATTATACTCTTATTGTAACGACAGAAGACAAGGGCAAGGCAACAGATCGTTTATTGAGAGAATCAAGAGATATTTATAGGTTATTCTGTACTGCTTTTGACCGTTATCTTAAAACATTAAGCCATATATCTGCGAATCGTATCCGCCCACGCTAAGTCTGCTATGGTTGGTTGTTGAGTTCATCAAGGTTAAGCTTTGTTCTTGTCCTTTCTCGTGACTTCGATTTAGGACGTAAAGGTTGACGTAAATTGGTGTCTGCCAATTTTGGCTAGTAGACAGCTCTCACCACATTACTACTTATCAAGTATGTATCAACCCTAATTATAGGATGCATCACACAAAATCTCATAGTCTACCCTGAAGCACTGATCGAAGTGGAGATGGTTGTCCTAAGCGACTTTACTCTTTCCACCGGCCTTTGACGTGAGCATTCTGATCTACAAGGCATAGGGGAAGTGTCAGTAGCTACATTCCCATGCTTTCTGGTGACTCAGGCAGGTTCACATGTCACCCATAATCCAATCGGTTTCTACAGCCCATAGGTTTAAAATGAGGATTTCCCAGTTTCTCTAGGTGTAGACCTGGATGTCCACCAGTTCGGTTCTAAGTGCCAACAAAACTTTCGAATTCATCCTTTCAATTTTGTGAGGAACATCCCTGCGTCGTAAAGGCGTAGTAATAAATATGACTTATCTGACAGAGGCTATGAACGGTTGTCGCCATATGATGAGAGTATTTCGAAGGAAAGATCGGAGTTTACGCATCCACCTAGTGCCGTTACTGGCCGTTCACACGGGGTCATCAGTCAAGCTAAGTTTTGGAGAAATTATTATACATATACGTATTTTTTATTCCTTTACGTTTCCAGTGGAACATAGGGCTTCAAGCTAGAGGCTTGAAGTTTCGGTAGCAGTGGTGTTTGTTTTTATGAGATGGGGTTGCTGGCCTCATGCTCAATCTTCCTTCTTTACCAGTCGTACTGCTGTGCAAAGTTCTATATCGAAAACAGACGGACAGAGAGTCTTACCACCTGCTTAGCAAGGTAAAGGCGTGCGTCAGTGGCCAGGGATCGAACCCCGGACTATGTGCATGATCGGCTAGCGTCCTAACCGCTGTGCCACCGACGCACTATATATATATATATATGCCTAATTCCGTTTGTATACTTTTTATTTCTGTTCTTTCTTTTCTATAATAGCCCCCCTGCCCTTGTGCCAGAGTCTCCCTTCTGCTGCAAGTTGGGTTTTCCCTAGCTGTAGCAGAACAAGAATTAAAGTTCGAGCATAGGGATCTACATTGGGGGAATGTTTTGCTCGATGAAAGTTGTATGTCCCCTGCTGTAAATAAATCAACAATGTCTTCTTCATCGTCGACTTCATCATCTTCCTCCTCCTCTTCTTCATCCTCCCGCTCCGTCTCCTCATTGTCTTCATCTTCAAACGATTCTTGTTGTAAATATTGTTCTTATTTGGACAATATGGATGGAGTGGAACAAGAAGAAGGCGAAGAAGAATCTGATAAGGAAAATAAGAGACATGTCACTAATGAAGAAGAACAAGAAGACGCTGATGACAAAGAAATGCACAACCATAATAATAATAATAATAAATACGTACAATTTCGTCTGAATGATCAGGCGATCAGTGTTCCGAAATGCGGTTGCACAGTATACCTCATAGACTTTACCATGTCTCGTTTAGAACAAGGTAAGCAGTCAGTCGAGTGGAGTGGAGTGGAATTAATGATATTTTGCACACTGTTTTTTGTTTGTTTGTTTTTCAAAGTTTCTTGTTTTATTCTCATAGACTATTACTACTACTACTACTGCTACATACCAAATGATGCATATATATACTACTGGGGTTTCAAATCACCGAAAATACTACTACCCATTGAGAGTTATGAAGAAGAAAAAAATAAAAGACGAATTCAACGGAGAAAATGCTTCTTCTTTATCGACGAAATCATCTTCAGAGGCTGGCTGTACAGTCGTATTTATATTTACTAAAATATATATATATATATATATATATAGTGGTCTATTATTGAGTAATAGGAAGTGGGTGACATAATTGATATAATTACTCGGAAGTGGTTTTAGAAGTAAAAAATGAAAGACGGTGCTGAAGAAACTGCTATTTATGAGCGTTGAATTTAGAGGTGATACCGCAGCTGAGATCCTGAAGAATCGCTTATGCAGATCACTGAGGAAAGCCTTCTTTATGACTGAGCTACATATCAATTTCTACAGCCGACAAATGATCAATGGGTGTGTGAAGGATAAACTTCCGCTTTGGGCCACCTCAGTGTGTGTTTATAAATTCACTTGCTCGTGTGGAGGTATAAGTATAAAACTTGGGTAGTTATATTGACCACCGAAAGCGCTCAATTTGCAAATTCATCTCTAAACATTATCCGGCATGGTTAGCAAAAGGACAATGCAAGACAATTACTGGCTCAATTCTCGAGCACTTGGTGAACTCAAGCTGCATAACTCACTACAGGTTTTGATTTCACCATCCCTAACACTTTCCCAACGTAATCCTAAGAGTTGGATAACATTACATATCGAGGAAACTGATGGCTAGCCATACGTAACACATGAAGTTTTAGCCAGTCCTATAGGGGGGAGGAGGTTTAGGTTACCTGGTTGAAAAGTGTTTACCGCATCCTATGAAGCAATGAAGGCTGGAGACAATTGATGATATGACTCGAAATTGTTTTTCAAAAATGGCGGGCAGATGCATTCACTCTCTGCGATGTGTTATTTCCTATTAAACCATTTTTTCCATACTGCCCATAAGACAATGGCTCTAAGTCGGTCGGTCGATCAGTCAAAAACGGCATGTTTGAATTAGTTTCTTGAGTAGTACGCGTAAATGGAATCATGTCGCCGGCTACAAACTGCCACGAAGTAATTCGAGATGTACAATTTTTGGAGTCGCCTTTTTTCAAACCTCGTTTCACCTCTCGACAATGGTGAGAGATAGGTTGGGTGGCTTGCTGGTCATATGAGAGAAAAATGCAGCTGTCGTTACACATTTATTCGCCAACAGACGCGCCCAACACTGTGCCAAAGACTTACACTAAAACGGGAACTGTTTTTATTTTAATTCAATTAGGACTTTCCCGTTGATTGATCGGACCGAAGTGCTTGGCCTCAGGTTGGCATGTTGACTCTTTGTGCAAATGCCTCAACGATATCTGATGTCTGAAATTGTCTCTGGTATCCAACCAGCTTTAATGGCATGGAAGAACCTTCAGCAATATTAGCTCCATCTTGTGTAACCCGTTAGGTCATTGAGATATGTGCAAGCCTTACCATCACGTCGAGGTAGCAGCTGTTGATTGGGGTGGGTGTGGGGAGAGCTTTTACGAACATAAGCATATATAACCCAACAGTGTTGTATATATGATTTTAGGGGTGCTGTTGAAATTGACTATATTTCACCCACCTTCATTTATCGCAAACTATGTATGCTTCGTTACTCTTTATATGAGTGAGTATGTATGACAGATATGTGCATGTGTGTGGTCAGAATGTTCGAAATGTATTGTACAAATACATACCATGTATGTTTGAGATAAATCCAAGTTATTATTATAACTTCCTTGTGTTCCAAATGGAGGGTAGAGCTTCAGCGGCATATCTCTATATCCTTATATATTCTCCGCAGTTTTTTTTAGCTGCTTCTTCAATTAACTCCTTACACGAAATCCTCTCAGTCTACTGTCGAATATGCAATTGAACTCTTCGTTCAAATCTTGATTAAAGTTCATATTAGTTTGGTTTATTTTGTTTTTCATGACTGAACGACGATGACTCTCAAGACAACAAGATGCTTCCATCTATTTTTGTATGACTCTCTGATACTTTTACTCTGCGTATTATTTCTTTGGAGAATTTCGGACCCGTTTGCTGAACAAATTTTTTAAAATAATTATTTTTCACACATGTCTACTTTACACTCAGTCGATGAAGTTGTGAAGTTACATTGATTGAGAGATGGTTAGCACATGTGTTACGCATGCCTGCCTAACCATTGCCTTCCCCGATGACTGGCAGTGTTAGCTGACATACGATGTATCAGGTTGGAAAAGAGTTAGCCAGTGATGGTCAAACCAAAACATGGCTTCATCAGTCAATGAAATTCACAACAGTTAGTTTGAACCAGCCAGCCATAGAGGGAGGTGTAGACTTCCTGACTGGTTGGGGTCCTCGGGACGGTAAACATCAATGAAGGCTGGAGACAATTGATGATATGGCTCAAACTCATCGTTCTCAATGGGTGGCGCAGATGCATCCACTCCTTGTGATTTATCATATGCAATCAAACTCTATTGTTCTTCAATATTACTATTCTTTTGTCTACTGTCTCTATTTTGCATTTCTTTTTACTTTCTTTTTCTTCTTCTCTGGCTTTGTTTGCTGAGGGAAGTGTGTCGACTCGAACTGCTGCACATCGGTGCAAAGTTCTGTGTTGAAGTCACTCGGTCCTGGTTCAGTGTCCGTAGGATTCTAAGAAAATCAATGAAGGTTGGAGACAATTGGTGGTGATATTGCTCGATATTGACATAGACGCATTCACCACTCCTTGTACTCTGTAATATCCTTTTAAACCATCATTTTCTTCTGTGTTACTGTTCTTTCTCCCACTTGCATTTCTGCTTATAATGGTTTTATGAATATCAATTTTTGTCCGTTTTGTCTTCTTTTGTGTGTACTACATGGAGTGCTGTGGCAGATTGAACTGCCATACTTCTATGCAAAGTACTATGTTGAAACCATGTCAATCAGACGCTCCTAAATTCATTTTTTTGTAGGGAACTGTTCATTTCAAGCTTTATTTATCGAAATTTAACGAATGTGTTATACACAGTCTTCAGTCACTTTTGTTGTATGGGATATGTTCCCTCTTCTTTAATTGTAGATGGTGATTTAGTCTATGTTGACTTAAGTAGTGACCCTACTTTGTTTCAGTCGCAAGGAGATTATCAATTTGATATATATCGTCATATGAAATCACACACTCGGTGAGTATACATACATAGAATGATATACTTTTTTGTGTTCATGTATTGACCAAAGTTGTTGTCCTTTTTTATTAAACACCCACACATACCAACCGAATGTAATTTGATTCTTATGCAGATTTCAGATTTGATCGCGAGCCAGCTGTTTCATCCTATTTTTAGACAATTCAGCAATGCGTTAACACTGCCGTCTGACTGAAGAACCTTTCAGTTAAACCGTTCAGTCACTGAGACTCTATGCGATGACCTATGATTGCTGACTTTTACCTAACAAAGGTTCTTTAACTGTTGATGCTAGCTAGCTTATGATTATACTTGTAACCACTCAAATCCTCCTGCATACACTAACACTTGATTAATTAATCGGATAGTCACTAGCAACTGTCTGTATAAAGAAAAATTTACCTAGAGTTTTAGTGAGAAGTCGTAACCGACGGAGTCCATCAAGTCAGATAAGATATTATATATATCGCGAATTGACAGGCGTGTTGGAATTCTTGGGCGATTGGATTGGGTAGGTCCCAATGGTTGAATGGTCTACGAACTCATCTTGTAACCGGTAGATCCTCTCTGGGTTCGAAGGTCGCAGTCTGGATGCGTATTGACGAAGATTCTCAAACTAGTGACGAAACAGCCGTCTTGTGGGTTTCAGAGTGTTGTGGAGTCACTCAACATTATGTTGAAGGTGTGACGGTAAATACTAGGCATTTTAGAAGCAGTAAGGTATTTCTTTCAGATGACCAACAAGCTATCCAATTGTGTTGGCGCTCATTCTGTGGAAGCGGGTTGACGGTTTTCTGAGTTCTAATCCTCTGTTTATGTTTCATGTGTTTCAGTTAGTCAGATGGATTAATTGTAATTCGGTGTTAGTGACACTGAATTCTGAAATAACGTCTAGGGGACACCAACGAGGTAGGTAGTCTAAACATGCCCACGTGGCTCAAATCAGCAATCATAGACTTCATGCATCGATGCCAAGTTTCGATTTGACCACAGCTAACTCTTCTCTGATTTTATCCTATGTCACGTCGTAACGTTGCTCGATGAGGAAGACGATTGTTTGGCATACGTAACGCATGTCCTAAGCCTGTCAATTGATTCAGTCTGATAGTTTATCTGCCTTGCTCGATGTGCAGTGTTAGGTGAATTAAAATAATCTCGGAGAAGTTCCAGTAAACGTATCCGGATTTTAGTCACTGCCAATTGTCCAGCCAAAGAATTCACTGCAGTGTTGTTAAAGGAGGTCAATCAGAGACGTCTATAGCTCTGTGGTAACGTCTGTGAATGCAGTACTGAGTGACCTGTGTTCGACTCTGAAAGGGGATTTGAGCCCCTTCGAAATTACAGATACGTCTTGCTTGACCAGCGCCAACAAGGTCGAGAACTACATCCTAGGTTCCTTGCCGGTCGCCTCCTACCATCTGATTAAAATAATTCAGATTGCATCTTGTAGTCGTAAGCCACCTACCATGGTGGCCACATTGCAAACCTTGACTGATCGAATTAGTATTGAATAACCCAATCACAGTGTGCATTATAGTCCTTCATGAGGTAGGTGGTCAATCGCGAGCCCGGATAGCTCATTAGGAACACCTCTAACAAAATTAATAGGTGATGCGACCTAAAGTCGCAAAACGAGTATGAGTCCCTTCAAGTTTGCAGATACACCTTGCTGTCTGGTGAGTGCCGACAAGCAAGAAACCTAAGTGTTTAGAGAGGGCTACTTGCCGATTGCCTATAACCATCTGACATCAAAGTTACTATTTATTATCAAGTATTGGTTTGTAGGGATTTTTGTTTAATTGGTCGGAGGATTTCATCATGAGCTGACATCAGTTAGAGAACCACTGGAAAACCAGCAGTGGAATACGGGATGGGATTCTTCGACAGTGCGCATCCAACACCAGGGTTCAAACCCAGGACTTTCTGGTTACAAGGCGTGCTAGCTCATAGACCATTAAGCCACTGGGAGCCGATGCAGTGATCAGCGCGTGAATTCCAACTTCAACCAATTCATGACATAACGCGGCCACTTCACAATGTATTCTTTAATGAGTAATTGTCCTCACCTTCGACCTACTGGTCACGGCTTGAAAACCTTTGATAACATGAATCAAAAGTGTGTTCACAGTGGTGTGTAGAGGTTTATTCAAACTTTGTTATCTTTGGAACTATGAACCCCTTTCCACTAGTATCGTTTCACACATGTTTGGTGGTCCCAAATAGTTTTTTTTTGATTGGCTTTCTTAAATTAATGTTATCTTTAGTGGTCTAATCACACTCGTGAATACAATTAACAGTTTGGAAACTAGTTGGCGAATTGCAATTGTACGCAGTTCAAGAGGTGAAATTTTCACAACAGTTAGCTTCCCTTTGGAAACCAACTAATTATTCAGTTCACACTCAAACACACTAAATGATTTGCTTGATATCATAAGTTGTAATCAAGACAGCAAACATGTCTTTGTTGAACTGTATACTACTCATAAGTAGTTGTATACCAGTCATACCAACCAAAGTAGTGTTTGTCAGCTAGCTAGCTAGCCAGTCAGCCAGAAATCATGTGGTCCCAACTGATTCAACTCCTTGAGCTGAGTCATATCAAGTACACCGCTGATATACTCGATCACAAACGAGCGAAGATGTAGTCACTCCTGTTTCTAGCTTTTTTATTGTCACATTCAACCTTTTGCATAAGTAAACACCGTAACTGGCAATGTTCAGTATCATGTTAAAAAATATAATCGTAAAGGTTATTGATATGCACCTCGATGAGGTCCAGTTCTCCCCCTCTCTTTCTTACATTCTTTTCTAACCGATCTCAGTCAGTTCGTGACCAGATCCTTCCTTGCAAACGAACTCTTGAATGCTAGTTAACTGTAGTCGCTAAGGGCATATATACAAAATAAATTTTAAAGCGTCGGGATTGACGACAAATAGTTAGTAGTCGCGCTAAATTCACGAATCAGTAAAGCTGTCGAAATTCATGAGTCATTGAATTGGGCCCCAGTATCTGAATGAATGGTCTAAGAGCATGTCTTGTAACCGAAAGCTCAGGGGTTCGAACCCCACACACAGTGTGGATGCATGCTGCTGACAATGTTCAGTATCCTGCTAAAAAATGTATGCAGAAAACTTCCTTCAGTCTTGTTGCTGTATATTAAATAATAATTAACTTGATTATTCTATTCGTTTGTTTTAACGCATTATTACTATTATTATTACTATCATTTGTATTTTTCACCCGCTTATTATGATTTTGTTATTTCCTTTCTTCTCCTCCCTTAGAAATAACTGGAAGAAGTTTTCACCGAAAACCAATGTAATGTGGTTTCACTACCTAACAACAAAACTATGCTGTGATTTGACCGAACTAGCCTCATCATCTTCTGCATCCGCCTGCATCAAACGTCGTCATACTATTTGTTGTAAACAGCTGAAAGACTTAGAGTTGAGCACACGGAAATTCAAATACAAGTCTGCATTCGACTTGGTGACAACACATAAACTGTTTAAAAATTGTCGGGATTTTTTTAGTGATAAGTAACTACTCCAAATGTGATTGTGAATATGTGTGCGTGCTGCCCTTTCACTTTGTGAATTGTGCTGTTTTTTATATTTTTTTCCTTCAGTCTTTCATTGGCGTCTTCCTGTTTTTGTTTTCAGCGCCCACAGATTTTGTTTTTTGTACTTTAGTAATACTATTGTTATTATTATTATTTTTCTATTGTTTTTATTTTACTGATTGAAATAGAAATTATTATTATTATTGTATCCTTTAATTCCTACAGGAACATAGGGCTTCAGCCGTGCGTCTCCATTGCGTTCTGTTCTCTGCTAGAGTCTTCACCTGGCTCCATGTCTGCCCACACGTTTTCATCTCCTCTTCACATGACCTCCTCCAAGTCACCCTTGCACTGACGACCAACTCGCCGCTTCCCTTTCGGGTTCCACTCGAGTAATGGCTTGTCTAGTGATGTCACTTGATGGTCTCCTCAGAGTATGGCCAGCCAATCCATCTCCATTTCTTCCTGCCTATTTGTTGCACAATCGGTTACTGGTTGGTTCGCTCTCAAAGATCCCTGTTGCTGATCTTTTCTGGCTGGCCATCTGATCTTGAGTATTGAGCGAAGACAACTGTAAATGAAGGTCTGTTGTTTGTTTGAGATGCTCTTTATGACGCGCCAAGTCTCTGATAGAAATTAGGTGTAATATTTTCTAAAGAAAATGTCTGTTAGTTGATGAAGTTATTCAGTTGAAATATAGGCATTAGTTGCGAATTGTTGCTTGTGTTATAAACATATTGAATGCATCCAAACTGTGTTTGAGAAGGCGCAACTACACCACCCCAGTGTTATTGATTGACTGGAACTTGAAGCATTGAGAAAAAACGCCAAGAGTTACTGGAGTGTTTGTTTTGTTCCTGTCAGTTTTAATCTCTTCGGCAATATGGGGATCCGAGTCCCCAATCAGCGATCGGAATCAGGGTTTGTAGGTTGTGTGGGAGATTCGTTGACCATTTAACCACTGAGATAAGACCTGATAGTTTTTCGTCTTATAACCTGAAAGGTTATTGATATGAACCTCGATGAGGTGCGGTTCTCCCAGCTGCTTCTTTCAGATGTTCTCTAACTCATGTCGGTCAGGTCGTTATCTTACTTCAAATCCTTGCTGTAGCTGCTGAACATATTATTATTATTATTTATTGTTCCCCTGGATTCCTAGTGGAACATAAAGCTTCAACTCCACGTCTCCATTTTCTTCTGACTTCTGCTGTACTTTTCACCTGCATCCATGTTAATCCATACTGTTTCAACTCTTCTTCACACGATCTCCTCCATATTACCCTTGCACTGACGACCAACTCGCTGCTTCCCTTTCAGGTTCCACTCGAGTTATGGCCTGACGCGCGATGTCACCCAGCGGCCTCCTCACCGAGTGTCCAATCCATCTCCACTTTCTCCTACATATTTGTTGGGCGATTGGTCCTTATTTTGTTTGTTCCCATAGTTTCTTGTTGGTGATTCTTTCCAGCCATCTGATCCTCAGTAGTATAGAGCGAAGACAGTTGTTGTTGATAAAGGCCTGCACCAGGCTGTTGGAAATATTCTTTGTGACCCGCCAAGTTTCTGATCCGTATAGAACAACTGACTGACTTGACGTTTGTATTGAAAATCCGAATCATTTTGTTGTTGATGCAGGCTGAGTGACGAAGATTTCCAGATTGGCTTCGGGTTGATGAATGTGTTTCTCGCCTTCCCGATTCTCGATTTGACATCGTCGTCCGTTCCTCTTGTAGTTGAGACAATGCTCCCTAGATAAATGAATGAATTAACCTCTTTCAAATCCCTCCCGTTGATGGTGATTGGCGCTGGATGTCGCTGCTGCTGTTGTTGGTTGGTTATTTTCATAACCTCCGTCTTGTCTATGTTCACCTGGAGTCCTGTCTTCTCTGGCTGCTTCTTCGACCAGTTTGTCTTCGATTTTGTGTGACATCAAACATAAGTCATCCGCGAAATCCAGGTCTTCTAGGTTCTTCACGTCGATGGTCCAGGATATCCCAGTCTTCTCGTTTCCCACTGTCTGACGCATAATCCAGTCCACCACAATTAGGAATATCATTGGTGATAATAAGCACCCTTGTCTGACTCCTGTGTTTACTCCAAACGCGTCGCTGAGTTTTCCGTTGTGGATCACTTGACATGTGGCGTTGTCGTACAGTTGTTGAATAAGGTTGATGAATATTTTGGGTACGCCGTAGTACTCGAGTATTTTCCAAATTACTTCGCGGTCAACGCTGTCGAAGGCCTTCTCAAAGTATATCAAGTTGAGGTAGATGTTTGATTACCATTCCATGCTTTGTTCGATGATGATGCGTAGAGTAGCAATTTGGTCAGAACATGATTTGCCTTTCTTGAATCCAGCTTGTTCTGGTCGGAATTCCGTATCCAGTGCGTCCTTTATTCTCTCCAGGATGCTAAACATATGGAAACGGCAAATATGCAAAAGAAATCCTAGAGAGTCGTTGTTGGGGACAAACAGTTAGTAGTGGCGCTGAAATCACGAATCAGTAAAAGTGTTAGAATTCATGAGCCCAGCGGCTGTATGAATGATCTACTAGCATATATTGTAACCAGAAGGTCCGGGGTTCGAGCCCCACTGTATGGATGCATGCTTCTGATGAATCTCAAACTAGAAGTAAACAGCTCTTCAGTACTCCTAGCTGGTTTCCCAATGGTTCTCTGTCTGATGCCAGTCTGCAGTCAAGCTTGATACCTGGTGATAGTTACTGCAGTGATTGTCGAATGCAAGGTGACACTCTTCATTAGAAATTGACACTGCAGTCAGGCAGGAATATATACTTTGCCATATTGTCTTTCATGTTTGGTCGCTAGGCACTTTGACTCTTAAGTTCTTAGTGCATAAGCTAGTTGATTCGTGACATTCTTAGATCAACTCATGATGGATGTTGGACCCTTTGAAATTGTTGCTAACTCATCTTGCAACATTTTCCATATGCAGTTAGTTGAAATGCATAGATTTCTATTGAAGTAACATTGTTAACTGCCTTGTTCCTCACTGGAGTTTGCTAGAACTTCTTACAGTAAATATTTTCTAAGAGACATGGCTTCAAGGTATTCACTCCATATATGCTTTTACTGCGGTTGTTCAGCTCAAAAATCCAGTCTCTGAAGTTGCTCAGTTATAACATACTTTCTTTCCCTGTTAATTGTCAGATAGTAGAGGTATATACTGCTGTGGACGTTAGATCCGTCGGGGGGTTCTTACTGCTTTCGATAATGGTGTAGCTCTGTATTTCTCCAGCAGTAGAACGACTGCTGTAATTACCTTCTCTACCATAGAACACTTCTTTTCCACAAGCTGGCATACTCTCTACAAGTGTATATGTCTGCTTTTGAATGTTACATCTGTCGTTATCGTCACTAGCGTCTGTGGAATTTATGATGTTGTACATCATGGACATTTAACAACAACTTTGTATCATCTAAAAGCTCCATAATCTGACCGCTTCCATACTGTACCTCTGCAGAGGAAGTAAATGTATTACGCAACAACTTACACAAGGCCTGCAGTGTCTCGTTGGAGGTCTCCACAAGCATATCTATTCTCAAGTGTGTTTGTGGGGGAAATAGTAGTTGAGTGGAGATTTTCATAATCAGGAAGATGGTTTTCGACGGGTAAGGGAAGGAATACATCTTCTGTGTCGATGAATTCAGTTTATATTTTTGAGGTATTTCGACAAAACAGGAAGACGTCATTTATCTGAAATGTGTGTAATTTTTTAGCGCAACAAATTTCGCACATACAAAAATTATATTTGTAAAGTTTGAGCGGAAATGAAATAAGTAATTCCAACGTTTCTTTCGGCAAGCTGGCCCAAAATAATTTCGACTAGTTTCCCTTAAGAAGTTCGGGCCAGTCTGCAGAAATAAACGTTGGAATTAATTACTTCAATTTCGCTGAGATTTTTACATATGTCTACTCCTTACTGGGGGCCCAATTATTTCGGAATTATGCAGTCAAATCTTGATCAAAGTTCATTTGAAATTTCAGACATTCTGATCACTTATACACAAAGAATTATAGTATAGGTCAAATTGTCTACAGGTTAAGGCCATTGATGGGTAATACGGAGACGACGTAAGAATATAAGGTATGGAGAAGTGGGGGTGAGGATATTTCTGAGTGAATTGGGTCAAGGCAGGATTACAGGAATGATGAATAATATTAGAACACATCAGACAGGTTTGAGCATTTTTATGACTGAGGCTACAACAGATTTGAATATGTGACCCAAACTTGTTTTATACATTGGCTTGAAAGGATTATTGAAATTTCTATTTCAGTGATCTCAACTCACTGAACAAATCTCAATCTTATAAACTGTAGCCGCTTTTATTTCTTTTTTGAAGTTGCTATGTGAACCTACAAGCTAACACCGTTCTGTTGATTGATTTTTAATGTTTTCTGTCTTACCCCTTCCCCCTCTTTTCTACTTTGAAAGCGTATAAATTGATGATGAGAACTAAAAATTTTTAGGGCGAACAATTGTGGTTTCAATAAATTCTTCTTCAGGCTCTACAATTATAAATCCATTAATTTAAGCATACAATAGCCAGTAAAGGCAAATTAGAATCATATCAGAAAGTGTATTGTTGTGGAACAAGTATAAGATGGGATGGAACAGTAGTAGTCAGATAGTTTTTTAATATGCATGGTCAATGAGAACATGAGACGAAATACCAGAAGGCCATCTCTTTGCATACAGAAGAAGGATGTTCAAGCACTATGTTTACCTTGGCCTACAATAAAGCCAACAAATCCTCCATCAACACTATAAATTCCTTTCACAATTTTCTTTTCTTCTTCTATTCCTCTGTTTCATTGACAAACGTTCATTTTGGGCTTTTATGATTTCATGACCTTTCTTATGATTTTATTACCTTAGGTTTAAATAGTGCTTTTTTAACTTGCTATCGTATTTACAAAATCCTGTTCATTCCACTTCATGATATTATTATTATTATTTGACAATCATTCACCAATAGTGCTTGTAATTTTACACCATATCATCGTTATTATTTTACAATCATTCTTATTGTTGTTATTTTCAACCTTGAACTTATGTCTAGACCGCCCCATTCGTTGATTTATTTTCATATTGTCTCACACACACCCTGATTACACACACTCTCGAAACCTGTATTTTCTGTTGACTATATTTATATATACACACACATCAATAAATTAAATTACTTCATCTGATTTTATCTCATGTTCTCATTGACCATGCATATTCAAAAACTAACTGACTATTGTTCCATCCCATCTTATTTATACTTGTTCCACAATACACTTTCTCATGTGATTCTAATTTGCCTTTACTGGCTATTGTATGCTTAAATTAATGGATTTCTGGTTGTAGAGCCTGAAGAAGAATTTATTGAAACCACAATTGTTCCCTCTAAATATTTTGTTCTTAAACTAAAAAATTGTAATGCTAACATTTTGGATGCGTCAATTTTATAGTATTTCTTTTCTATTACCACTTAAACATTAAAGTATGTTATTATCATCTAGATATATAACCATTGTAATTTCAGATAGTCAATGGCAGCTGATGAGAACCTGTGAAATAGAATGATGACGGTATCATTTTATACTGCAAATCTCGTCTTCCTTTCTTTATCGAAATTTATCAGGGGCACCAAATGTATGAAGATTATTGAAATCAACCTTGTGACGGGTCGTCTTTATGATAGGCTTCGGTATAGATGATGTTGGATATCTATTTCCGGGATCGGTTGTATCCGAGGATTTTTATTTGTTGTTGCAGCTACTTTGGAATATGTTCTGTAGCCCTGGCCTCCTCGGTTTGTACATGTGACCGCACACATAAATATAAATTAGTAAATAACAACGGAATGTGACGCTATTTTTCGAATACTGTGAGGGTTTATAAAACAGCATTATAAGGTCTGTTGACTGCTGCCTTGAGTTTTTGTATAGTTGATTAGACTTTGGTGATAATCTCTGAACGGTAAGGATGTTTAAACATCGTTTTCGGGTACTGATTATTTCGGTGGAGCCTTTTGTTTGACACTTCTGCAATGCTTAATAAATTTCAATGGATAGTTGTCACAGAACAATATTTAAATTCCAAGGGAAAATATACAAACAAACTGAGGGAGTTGCCATGGGATCACCAGTATCTCCAGTGGTAGCAGATATATTCATGAATAAGTGGGAAAGCATAGCGATTGAAACGTTCACCCCCACCCCAAAAGTATGGTGGAGGTACGTAGATGACACATGACATTCACTGTACTTAGAACATAAGATATAGATAGGTTTTTCGAACACATCAACTCGAAGGTGGAGGCAATTCAATTCACTTATGAAATGGAAAATCAGGAAGGGGAGCTCCAAATGTTAGATTGCAAAGTAAAAAGGAAAGAAGATGGGAAGTTAAACACACTAGTCTTTACAGGAAACCCACACACTCAAACAGATATTTGGACTTCGATCATCCCATCCTATGTCAGTAAAAATAGGATTGGTGAAATGTTTTAAATGACAGAGCCCAAAAACTAAGTAGTACAGAAGAAAATCTAAAACAGGAACTGATACATATAAAAGATGCTTTGAAACTTAATAATTACTTGGATAAATTAGTTAGGAAATGACAAAATAAATAATGATAGTAGCGATAGTGATAATAATGATAATAATAGCCATAATAATAATATTAATGACGACACCAACAATAAGGAATCTAAATCACCAGTAGTAATTCCATACAAGGAAGGAACCTCAGAAGCCTTATGCAGAATTCTTAACAAGGCAGGAATAAAAACGGCATTCAAACCCCCCACAAACTCAATTAGAAACAAGCTTTGTCGGTTCAAGGATCAATCCTGTGGAGCCTTTAAAACAAAACAATTTAGTTTATGTAATACCCTGCCAGCAATGATTGTCAGGTCAAACTAGTAGAACAGGAGCAGTCAGACTAGCTGAACATAAAAACTTAGCAAAATCTAGATTGGTTGATCCAAATAAGATAAGAAATCTAGAGAATAGTTCAGCTATACCAATAACTACATGCAGTTACACACAACCATACAATAGGATGACAGTTTTAAAATCTAATGTGACAGGGTATGAGGAGAGATTGATAACAGAAGCTTTGTTTATCGAATCAACTACAAATACATGTAATAAGAATGATTCATCACCTGTCCCAGATATCTGGAAAATTCTTCTACCCCCTCGACGACAAATAGGAGAGAACAAAGAAAACTATAAAACTCAAGTGTCAAAGTCGTGTGATTATTATTGATGTGATTATGAACAATAAATTTTGTTCGAAACGTATTCCAGTAGAGAATACTGTTTCACTGTGTGATATATCAAATAAACAAACTAATATGGAATTACTTACTACCACAGTGCTCAAGTTTTACACATATATTAAAATTCCACAAAAGTTGAGTATCATTCAAACCTGCATGGCCAAGGTAATGATACTGTCTGAACTAACTTCTTTTGGATGCAAAAATCAGGTTTGTTGATGTGGATTCCAATAGCCTCAGCAATATTCAGTAGTCGAACTCTTAAGGCAAAATTGAGATTCGTAGGTATGCGGTAAATGACCCTGAAAGCATGGTTAACGTCACTCTTGTGTTCTGTATCCACAAGATGAGATAGAATAGCGCTTCGAATAGATTTTGTTTGTCCTTTACTTAACCAACTACTCAGGTTGATGTTCGAAAATCCGACGAGAAACACGCCTAATTGTACGGCCTATGCAACTAACTGGCTCATTCCCAGGAGCAGTCAAATTCGTAGATACACACATATAAAATAGGCGAAATAGCGCAGTTTATCTTTTGCTCCCGAAGGCAAAATAGAGGTGTTTGGTTTTCAAGACAGCGTAATTCACCGACGTGTTCACTAGGCGTTGTGTTACCATTTTGCTGATGTTAACTCCGAGTTACTGAATTTGTAAGAATAAGGCGTTTTTTGGAACTGTTGGTACCTTGGAAGAGGGCTAGTGATGGTCAAACCAAAACGTGGCTTCATCAGTCAATGAAACCCACAACAGTCAATTAAAGGCAGTCAGTTACGTAGGAAGATGTAGACTAGCTTCCTGGTTGGGGTGGTAAAAACCTATGAAGGCTGGCGACAATTGGTGATATGGCTGAGAATCGTTGTCAATGGCTGGCGCAGATGCATCCACTTCTGGTGATTTATCATATCCCATAAAACTCTATTGTTCTTACATACTACTATTCTTTTTCCCTCACACTTCTGTTTATCGTCTCTCTTCTCTTGCTTTATGTGCTATATATGGAGGGAGAGTGGTAACTCGAACCGCTGCACACTTGTGCAAAGTTCTACGTTGAAACCAGTCAGTCATCATGCACTAGTAGGCTATGAACTATATATATTGCATGAGGGCCAGATGACCTATTATGAAGCCCGCTCCTAATAAAGCCTACTTTGAAGAAGTCTTCTAGAATGGGGGAAACAAAATCTTCCCAATTAAATCAGTCGTTTGTCAGAATACAACTGAATTAAAATCCAGGAAGTGCATTCCATACTAGATCACTCACTACTCATAACTAGTGGATTCATATACAAATATATTCATTTGTAGAAATTTGATCAATTTCACAGTTGAAGAGTCCCAAGTCGGGACGAAATAGTTGTACTCAGCCTCCTACTGTTTAAAATAGTTTTCTAAATAGTATTGTAACAACAGAAGACAAGGGCCAGGCAACAGATCGTTTATTATGGAAAATCAACACGTATTTATAGATTTTTATGTACATTATTGTAGGTCAATGTTAGTGGAAAATACAGTCTGTTGATTGGTTGCTTCTCACACAAAGTTAACCTTGCATATCTTGTGGCTGTGTCAGTTCAACTATATGTTAACTGTATTCGCCTGTCCACCTTGACCTTTGACCTCAATTACTGTAAACCAATTTGGCTAGCGACCATCTTTCACCACACTCGTCCCCCCGTCAAATAGTTTGGACTGAAGTTGGTTCGGTCTTCTTGGTTCTTGGGGCTTTTCTTTTTTGTCTTGCTGTCTGAAATCTCGGCGCTTGCGGATGTTCACTTGCTTCTCTGTGTTTGCCATTGCGATTGTGTCTGCATAACCCCATCTCAACGTGACCATATATGGTCCTTCCCACTTTGGAAACTGTTTGCCTGACCCTGTCTCACATTCGTAGGTATTTCGCCTCACACTTCCATATGCTGCTTTCTCCCGACCTCCCAGCAGCGTCCCAAGTAGCAGCCTCATCGCTGACAGATCTTGAACGCCACTCAACTGCGAAGAAGCCTCGAAGTCCTGCCCGAAGATCCATATGTCTCCATCAAAAACTGCAGGGCATAGGCTTTCCATTCGTCGGTAGGCAGCGACACCAAATGTAACAACAGAAGACAAGGGCCAGGCAACAGATCGTTTATTATGGAAAATCAACACGTATTTATAGATTTTTATGTACATTATTGTAGGTCAATGTTAGTGGAAAATACAGTCTGTTGATTGGTTGCTTCTCACACAAAGTTAACCTTGCATATCTTGTGGCTGTGTCAGTTCAACTATATGTTAACTGTATTCGCCTGTCCACCTTGACCTTTGACCTCAATTACTGTAAACCAATTTGGCTAGCGACCATCTTTCACCACAGTATCACTCTATTGTGAAACCTACTTTGAAATCGTCAGCTTTGTTTAATCAAATAAAATGGTGGATGGAAAGTATTTTTTATTTGTTTCAATGAAATCAAAACATGGTGCGGCAATGGAGTCACCATTAGGATCCATTCTAGTCGACATTTTCTTTGAGGAACTAGAAAATGGGCCTTTGATAGATGTCATTGATGAACTTGAATTCTATTGTCGGTACGTGGATGATACATTTTTGATTATGAAAAATGAGAAGCAAGCAAAGAGCATCCTTCATGAACAAATTTAACGATGTTCATCCTGCCATAAATTTTACCATTAAGAAAGAAAAAACTCCAGTATTTCATTTCTAGATGTCCTTATGACCAGAAAAGAGGATGGTACAATAAGAGGAAGTGTATATAGAAAACCTACTGTCAGTATACTCATTTTTTCAGCATCGTGCCTTTGAAATACAAACACAATCTGATAAAGTGTTTGGTCCACAGAACAAGAGCAATCTGCTCGGATGAATGTCTTAATGAAGAACTTACTATTAATAAAAGGGTGCTGAGTGAGAGCGGTTATTCAGAATAGTTCATTGATAAGAATATGAATCTAAAATCTAAGCAGCCCAAGGTACCAACAGTTCCTTAAAAGGCCTTATTCTTACAAATTCAGTTCCTGGGGGATAACATCAGCAAGATATTAACACAACGCCTACGGAATACGGCAGTGAAAACAGCATTCCCTGATGCTGAATAACGCTGTGTCTCCAAAGCCACCCTATTTTGCATTCGGGAGTAAAAGATGAACTGCGCTAATTCGCCTCTTCCATGTGTATCTACTAATTTAACTGCTCCTATGAAGTGAGCCAGTTATATAGGCCGTACAAAATAGGCGTGTCTATCGTCGGATTTTCGAACATCACCCTGTGTGGTTGAGCAAAGGACAAACACAATCCACTCGTAGCACTATTCTATCTATCTCATCTTGTGGATACTGAACACAAGATTGATGTCAACGAGGCGACTTTCAGCGTCATTTACCGCATACCAATAAATCTTAACTTCGCCTTTACAGTTCGACTACTAAATATTGCTGAGGCTGGTTGTTGGGATTCACATTAAAAAGCCTAATTTATGTGTCCAAAAGAAGCTAGTTCAGACATTATCATTACCTTGGTCATCTAGGTTCTAATGATCCTCAATTTTTTGTGAAAATTTCCTTAATTTTAGTTGATATTCTATTTGCTATTATATCTTTATTATTATTGTTAAATTTTATGCATCTTTAATGAGCTGTAATTCGCAATAAGTAGTGTTCTCTGAGCTGGTTGGTTTAGTTGCGGTGGTGCTTTCGTCGTCCTTCTGGACAACATCCCCTTTCAGCGCAATTTTTAGCATAAAGTGAACTGATTTAAATTTTCCATGAGTAATAGAATTGCGTCTCCTGGTAACCATCTTTACATATGTATTGACCATTTTCTATTGACTTGGATTTTAAACTTTCTGGTCACCTGATTTACCTTTTATTAGTTGGTATATTTCGTCTATATTAACGTGTTTGTTAATTGCATATTCGTTTGAGTACCAGGCTTCTAGGTGTTCCCTCACTGCACTTTTGGTGTTCCCTCTGTCTAAGATTTTGACATTATCCCAATCAAATTGATGACCATAATTATCTATATGCATTGATATTGAAGAATATATATCATGTCTGTTCACAGCTGATTTGTGTTCCTGGATTCTGATTCGAAGGGGACGTCCACTTTGGCCGATGTAATGTTTGTTACAGTTCATACATGCAATTTATTTTTTAAATGGTATTAATCTTATCTCCTTTTTCTGTTGGATCTTTCGGTTTGCACAATATCGAATTAAGTGATTTGAATGGCTTGTGTGCTATATCTATATCTAACGGTTTCAGTATTCTGGCTGTTATTCCAGAGATATTCTTCATAAATGGTAAGATGAATGTTCTGGTGGTTTTGATGATGGTTCCTTGTTGGTGTTGTGATTCGATTTTAAACACTTTTTGATGAAATTTTGTGGATAACCATTCTTTTTGAAGACCCTTAGTAGGTATTTTTCTTCCATTCTTTTCAACTCTGGAGTGCTACAGTGTGTTTGAGCTCTTTTAAACAATGTCTGCATACAGTTTCTTTTGTGAGTAATTGGGTTATCACTAGTATAGTTGAGTATTTGATCTGTGTGCGTTGATTTTCTGTATACTTGTGTTTCTAAATTTCCTGTGTTAATTGTAATTCCATCGATCTTACTTTAAAATCGATATTATTTAAAAACACCAAGGTATTGTTATTGACTACTAATCTAGAATATTCTATGTATGTAAACATACAAATATCTAGTTGTAGAGCCAGAAGAGGAGGAAATTATCGGAAAGGATGTTTTTTGCTCAATTGTTTTGTGTTTTATACATGTCTTAATGCATATTTTCGCCAAATTGAAATCAAAACTAAATGAACATTTAAGACAGCCTGTATATTATAAAATTACAAATATTTATAAGTATATACACCCATACATAAAAACGATGGTTTTTAAATCATAACAAATGCTCTGTGTTTACATATGTCTCTTTGTTATAGCAGTACATTTGCATAACTGTGTGGTTGCGTGTGTACATTCTAGCTATCTGAATACATATATATCAGGATAACATAGAAATCAATGAATATTACGATTTCTAACTAGTATTCAAGGTTATCAGTCAAACGAATTTCGCGCGCATTAGTATTTCGCGCCTAAATTGATATGAGATTGTGCACCTAGGAAGAAGAATTATTATCATCAATATTTTTTGATATAAATGAAGGTAAAAGTTAATAATTGTATAAAGACTAAAGTTAATTTATAAGCGGAATTCATTTGTCTTATTGCTGAATTACAACCATCTCTATCTTGACAATAGCAAACTTCTTTATAGATACCTTGTTCTTCAAACCAATAACGACAACTCCATGCTAATCCTGTTTAGCATAAGGAAATAAATAAATAAAAGAAAGAAATAGATTAGGAGATTATTTAAACACAGTTAGTACATACTACTAATTTGGCTGAAATGAGTAGTTGTACATATATATGTAACGACAGAAGACAAGGGTCAAGCAACACATCGTTTATTGAGAAAATCAACAGATATTTATAGACTTTTATGTAGATTATTATTCGTTATCTTAGTAGAGAAGCAACGTCTTCTGATCGCTTGTTTTCCGTGCAGAAGGTTATTCTGCATTGCTTGTGACCGTTGCTTACAATGTCATGTATATATGTGCGAATCATATTTGCACACGCCAAGGCTGCTGTGATGGGTTGTTGAGTTCCCTAAGGTCAAGCTTTGTTCTTTTTTTTCTCATGAGCCCGAATCGGGACGTAAACGTAGACGTAAATTGACTTGCAGACAGCTCTCACTATATATATATATATATATATATATATATATATATATATAGACTTTAATTCATCTCATCCGTTAACTTTTTCTGAAGGCAGGCTCAGTTAAGTGTTTAACAAATAGAGCAGTAGCACTAAGTAGCACAAGAAAAGACCTAAATGATGAAATAAAGGAGATAGAAGAGGCGTTGTTGTTAAATAACTATCACATAAAATTCATTAGGAAGACCGGTAAAGGCCAAAATAAAAATAAAATTAATTGTGAATCTAGTAATGATAACATAAATAAGAGAGAATATAAGTCATCTACAGTTATACCATATAAAGAGGGGACATCTGAGACCCTACGTAGGATTCTCAATAAAGCAGGAATAAGGTTGGCATTCAAACCTACAAACTCACTCAGGCAGGACAAGCTCTGTAGGCTAGAAGACCCGGTGGACCCAATTAAACAAAATAATATAATTTACAAAATACCTTGCAATGACTGTGAGGTCAACTATATAGATCAAACTAGTAGATTGGGGGTAATCAGATTGTCGGAACATAACAATTTTAGCTGAGTTAAGAATGACTGACCTCGAGAAGATAAATAATTTAGAAAAAAGCTCAGCAATTGCAATGCATGCATTAACACACAACCACACAATCGGGTGGAAGAGGATTAAGATTCCAAGAAGTAATCTACGTAGGTGGAAAAGGAGATTTATTACTGAATCCTGACTGGTTCATTGAGTCTACACCCAACACATCCAAGAGAAATTGCTCAATGCAAATACCAGGAATATGGAAGATATTATTACCACCAGTCAGTCAAATCAGAGGAGGATAATAAATAATCTTAAAGTTCTATTTCAATTCAAGCACATCACAACATTCTAACAAGTTACTTATTATGACTAAAGAAACACTCGTCTTATTTCCCAATCTGATTGTACTTAATCAGTAACACTCATATTATTATTTCTGAATATACATTATCCCATATTGATTTTTATTCAAATATCTAATCATCAATTCCACTCATGTATATAAATGAAGCAAGAAAGTTGTGTGAGTAACTCGATATGATTATGAGTGGCAATAAGTTGTTCTCGAAACGTCATCAGTTAATATTACTGTATAACACTGTGTGACTTATCAAAATAAAATCTTATCCATAATGGAGTTACACTCTACCACAGTGCCCAAGTTTTATACTTATATCAATGGTACTTTTTACAGTTGGACTTTGTTGAACTAATTCTGTCCTACAATACTTGTTTGGTATTTAGAAACCATCATCGCTTGTATAGCTAGCTGCCTACCTCATGATAGTGTTGCGGTGGATTTGACTTTTGAAGTATTTGTTACTTAGTAGAACTGTGGGGTGTGCTACTTATAAGATTTATCAGTAGTATGTATATGTATCTAAACAGATTTTCATCGGTATGACAACTTCAAATACTAGGGGATGCATTTGATTTCATAGGAGTCAAAAGATACAGCGTTGAGGAGATACATGGGGGACGACGTGAAAGGAACAAAGAAACACAATATGAAGGAAGGGCAGAAGTAGCAGGCATAACATGTAAGTTCTGTGCAAATGTGGTGCATTGAAGATATGTTGCACATAATTTGGCCATGCAGAGATACCAAACTCAAATAAAAGTTTTATTTTACCAAGTCTTCGTTTTCTACCGTTACACAACGGCTAAAATACTGAAGAATAATAGTCTTTCCCTTGTTTTCGGAATGTTTCGTGATAGCGTGTGTGTGTCTCAACAAAGTTTTCTCGGCTATACAGTTGAACGTAGAGATCGAGAGATTCTTGCGTTTAGACCATAGACGAATAAATTTAATAGCTACAGCGTTTAGCATAAAGTCAGATTCACAGTTTGCTGTGCACACATTTTGAGGGGTGAAATCTCACTAAAGTTCCTTTGAGAAGCCAAGTTATTTAGATCACAGTCTGTGATCTGATTGATACCATGAATAGTAATCAAGAAGACAAGGTCAGATCGAGGTGATCTCAACACCGGAGAGCCATTTATATAAGAACACTGGACAGCTCTTTTATTGTTTTGGAGCACCTCTTCTCAAACGATTGATCTGGCTAGCACGTATTACTGGTCAATGTTAATAGTTTCAAACACTAGTCATAATAATCACTCCAGGGATTATAGTCTCTCATGAAATCATTGTGGCATAGACTGTGTGCAAGGGTTGGGGTGCCGCCTAGATCCCCGGAGTGAATCAGGTGGGTGTCTTAAGTGGCCACCACCCTTGAATTCTGATACACAACTTAGTGAATGGAGCGGCGTCATGAGCTTAGTTCCCATGGTTTCCGATTCGGTCCATTCTGATTCTGGAGCCCATGTAACAAGAACAGGTTTGGAATCAGGGTTTTCTGTCTCCCCTCAAAAGACTTAAATGTTTGTGTGTTCGGTTGTAAGTGTCAGGTGTCTGCATTCGCTCTCCCGCTTTTGTGAAGAACACCCACGGTGAATCTGCCTCTTCAGAACTGCTTGCGTCCGATGACAACACGGTCTAGGTACTCATGAGGTCCGGTAACGTGTGCCTGAATACGCAGTGAAGGTCACCTCACGTTTAATGTGATCACCGTGAAACAACGGCTTCAGTGGCTTGGCTATGAGTGTCATCCCCGGTGCTCTGGAACTAGACAATAAAAGCGGAGATATCGCTAGTCTCTGATGTGGCCTGGCCATGGGATGAAGAATATTTATATTAGTTAAGCAATCATCCGTTGTTTCATGACAACCCTGTTAAGTAGGATCCAAGAGATAATTCAAATCGATGACTTGAGACAATATCAGATATAGACAGGAATCATAATTAGTGGTGAACATGATGGAATTTCCTGTTTTCTTCCTTTTCTGGAAGTATTATAAAGTAACTACTGATGAATGATCTTGTCAAGTAGGCTTACTTGCTTTCTGGATGAACTGCCTCATGTATCCCATATCTCCATTTCCATAACATATTTTCATTATTTTTGTATGGCTTATCTCTTGTTGGGTTTAATGTACCAAGTTCGTTTCAGTAATAAGATTAATAATCTGTAGTATGTACCATAATGCCTTTATGGTTGCTTTCTGAGCCTCAATTATGGTATCCAACATACCACATACTCTGTTTAGAATGTTTTTTGTTTCTATGGAAAACTGTAACGAACTTTGCACACTTTGCACTGTGTGTATTAAATAAATTGCAACTGGTTGTGTCATGAAACAGATTCACAGAAAGCGGCCAAGACTGAAAACAACATTTTAGGGCAGCGACTATAGCGGTAGAAGTGTTTACTTCTAAAATATGGATTTAGTTTGCGTTGTGGTCATGAAATAATTTAATTAGACAATTTATGTAAATCTTGGACCAGTCTCCAACAAATCAGAGCAACTTATTCTCCTCTAACATAGTTGAACGTTAATGTGGCTTAGAATGTATAAACATTATGCATTTTTTCCTTAATAAAGGCTGGTTACCCAGTTTTTATTCTTCTCCTGTTACAATGTGTTTTAAGGAACAAACATGGGGCTACTCTATCCCTCTCTCTATCAACACGCACTTATCTATCGATGAGAATCCATTGCCTGCATATTAATTCCTTGAAATGCCTTGGACTGAAGTTTTGAAGCGAGGATCGGGAAAGCAAGACAAGATGGCCGGCCAGAAAAGATCAGCAACAGGGAGGGATCTCTGGGAGAGAACCAACCAACCAGGAACCAGTTGTAAAACAATTATGGAGGAATAAATGGAGGTGGATTGGCCATACTCTGAGAAAACAAACCATCAAGTGACAACACAAGACAGGCCATCGCTCAGGTGGAACCCGATCGAATGAGAAAAGGCGAGTTGGTGGTCAGTGCGAGAATGACATGGAGGAGGTCATAAGAAGAGTAGATGAAAGCATGTGGACAAATGTGGAGCCAGGTGAAAACGTTGGCAGAGGACCGAACGCAATGGAGACGTTTGTCTGAAGCCGTATGTTCCTCTAAGAATTAAAGGAAACAACAATAATAATAACAGAACTGTGGCGTGTGCTACTGATAAGATTTATCAGTAGTATATATACATAAAGAGATATCGACATAAAGACATCAAATAGCAAGGAGATAGACTTGCAGAGATAGATTGGAAATGTGAAAAAAACAACAACAAAGAAACACAATATGAGGGCTAGAAGTAGCCGGAACAACACGGAAGATCTGTGCAAATGGTGCGTTGAAGATATTTACATCAGTAATATGTCTTTATATCACAATGCAAGGTGAAGTACAAAAGTGGAGCGTTGTCGTAGTTGTATAGAAAAATATAATAATATGATTGATTACATCATCATAAGTGGGCTTGATTAAGAATATATATGAATGTTTATAAATTCTTACCATAATCCGTTCTTGCACCACAACTTCTCGTTATCTTTATCCATGAATTCCAACCAGTACTTTCTTGATATGTTTTAACACAGAATGTTCCAGGTGAATGAGATAAGAAACTATTACAGTCGATCATTGCATTCAGTCTCGTGTCAAAATATCTTCTAGCTGGACATGAATGATCTTCATTACTATCACACTGGTAACATCGTATTGCGGAGATCTCTAAAATCGTTATCATCAAAGAAAATAGGAAATAAGAAATTTTGGTTATTTCATTTAAAACAAAGAGTTAACGTTGTACATCAATTAATTCTAGATTCCATCACGGATCAACATCATTTACAAACATTATCGGAAACCAAAGAGCAGTCGACACTTATTTCTTCCAGTGTTTGAGACTGTTCAACCGTTCGCACTCATGATCCCACTTGCCAGGAGTTGGACCAGGGACCTACAGGCTACAAAATCGAACTCGCTGACCATTCAGTGACCCGTGAATTCTTACTCTATAAATTCATGATAGAGCGCTACTCACAACCAATGCCTTCGATAAACATTGATTTCGTCTTGACATGATGAACCTCACTGTTTACGACGACTTCTCGGTACAGTTTAAGGACATCCATCCAGAAGTCATCAATTAATTGGAGGTTGATATTTATATTATGCGTTTTGGTGAGGGGTTAGGTTAATTTCAACTTGGATCGCTGGTAGATTCGTGGATGAGCACTGGTGAAAAGTACCAAACTAGGACGAAACAGATGCCCAGTTCTTCCTGGCTTTCAGTTATATCTCTGATTGATACTGGTTCTTGACAGAATTTTAAAAAAAACTGAAATTTATCCGAATTCCTAAAAAATCCCATAATTTTAGAATATTTCCAGTGTTTAGAAATATAAAACACGTAATTTCTAATGTAAAATAAGACATAGTCTTTTTATTATGATGCTATTTAGGTTGGTGGAATCCAAGACGTGCATTTCATCCTACTTGAGGCTCCTCATCTGGATGTGGTGTCTGCATTTTCAGTAGATAAAACCCGAGCTTAGTACTCAAGTGTTTCAACCGCCGATGTGTTATCCACTAAACCACAAGAGTCAAGTTTTGTGCAACATATGTAGGTTGCTATTCTGCTAAGCTGACTATGTTGACCTTCAGACATCATCTGTCAAATTTTTCGTATTCACAGCTGAAATATTTCAACGGGGACTGAGCATTTCAGTCACATCCGGAGATAATGAAGATAAAGACTTTTGGAATACTTGGAAATTAAAAAGAGGAAGTGGCGAAGTTCAACACTAGCGTCCCAGGAGTGCGAACGCTCCAGTGACCTTGAACGCATGCTAGTCGTTGGCTGACAGCACCTGTCATTATCACAGCTGAAATATCAACGTTATTGACCAACTAAGCAGCAAATTTCACTCAGATCACGTTTTCGAGTGCTGTTTCGACAATGTGTTAATAGCTCGTTAGGGTTAGGATTAGGGTTAAGGTAAGTATTGGGGTTAGGGCTAGTATCAGGGTCATGATTAGCATTAGGGTCAGGTTTATGGTTAGGATAAGGGTTGTAATTAGGGTTAGGATTAAGGTTAGGGTCAGGATTAAGTTTAGAGTTACGACTGGGGATAGATTTAGAGTTGATGTTATCTGTTTTAATTAGTTTACTTATCCACATTTACCTGGTACGTAGTTGTCGATCCTCTTACTGGAAACCATAGTAATTGAATCGAGGGTTTTCGGGGAAGACTGCACAACAGGATAAAAGAGATGAAAGATTCACAAAAACAGATCGTCTTTAGTCACCTCGGTGAATACATGTACAGAAACTGATACTCCTCATTATAACTGGGGTTTTTTTTTAAAGTCATATCAGAGAAAGATACCCTGTTTAATGTGTTTTCATGCATTTTCTTGTAAATATACGTCAATTTTTGTGCCAAAATTCCTCATTCTTATGATTGGTCGGCTCAAGGTCAGTCATGCGTTCGCAGCTCTTGGGACGCTATTGTTGAAATTTGCCGAAAAAGTGTTGAATTAAAGTTTCATAAAATTTCATACAATTCTGTGCATTAAGAAACTTGAACAAAGTAAGAACGACAAATAAGTACCAGGATAATATGTGCTCATGTTTTTATTTTTATAATTTCGAGAATTCTCAACTGGTCGCAACCTACTGAACTATACAAAATATTAAGAGTTGGTTTGCAGGAATCTGATTGGTTACAGGTTCAATCACTAGCTGACATCAGTTAGAGAAGCATTGGAAAACCAACAGAATGTATTGGACAGTTGTTTCATCTTGTTTCAGGTCTCTTCATCTGTATGCACCAGCCTCGTCCCGGGTGTCAATCCCTTGACCTTTCGGTAACAAGGTGAGTGAGCTCTTAGACCATTCAGCCACTGGGACCCAATGCAATGACCAGTTCATGAATTTCAACTTCTGTGAATTCACGATATATAAATCACAATGGCAACTTTAGTTCACTTCTCTAAATTTATGTGATCAGATAGTGCTATCATAAAATCATCTATATAATGTGTTACTCGTAATTTATGTATATGATTATTCAAGAGTGTAGATGAACTTAGATAAAAAGCTTGAATTGTATATTATATTAGCCAACTAAGTAACTAAGTATCGTTTTGGCTTAAGGTAAATCATTAAACTCAGATTTATAAAACACAAAATAATTGAGTAAACAATATCCTTTACGATAAATTCCTCTCCTGGCTCTGCAATTATACATACATATGTCTATATACATAGAATATTCTAGAATAGTAGTCAATAACAATATAATTGTTTTTCAAATAATATCGTTTTGTTAAATAAGATTACTGGGATTACAGTTCATTAAAGATGCATAAATCATAATAATAATAATAAAAATATAATAGCAAATTGAATATCAATTAAAATTAAGTAAATTTCTACAACAACAAATTGAGGATCATTCGAACCTAGATGGCCACTGGGGTAAGGACAATGTCTGAACTACCTTCTTTTGGACACATAAATTAGGTTTCTTAATGTGGATCCCAACAGCCTCAGCAATATTTAGTAGACGAACTGTTAAGGCGAAGTTTAGATTTGCTGATATGCGGTAAATGACTTTGAAAGGCGCCTCGTTGACATCAATCTTGTGTTCTATATCCATAAGTTGAGATAGATAGAATAGCTCTACGAGTGGATTTTCTTTGTCCTTTGCTTAACCAACCACGATGAAGGGTGATATTCGGCAATCCGACGATAAACACGCCTAATTGTACAACCTATGCAACTGGCTCCACAGGGATGCGCATGCTCATGTCTGAAGACTCCCAAAGTCAAACAAAACATCTATCTATTCAGTTCTTCTTAGTTCCACATGATTCATTAACTGATGGCAATTCTTTCAATAAATCTACTCTAAGATTATAAAGATTGTTTTTATCCCAAATCCCATCAAATAATAATCAGTACTGAGTTATATCAGTTCATATCTTGAATCATTCATTCTCAAGTAAATATTCAAACAGAATGTGTAATGTTTCTAAACAATAATTACGAGGAAATTAAGAAAATCAGTTCAAAGAACTTTTAATGCTGGCGAACTACACGTATTATTCTCTACACCACCGATGGTTGTGATTCCTCGACTGAAAAATGAAGTACCTAGACTAGCCACTACTAATTGTATCTACCAATTCAACTGCTCTCCTGTGGTGGAGCGAGTTATATTGGCCATTGCTCTGGGAACTTGATTTTTCGTTCTCACTCAAGAAGATCTCCCACTATGGTTAAGTAAAGGTGTAGTGAAAACCATCAACAGTTCGATATTAGACCATCTGGTCCAAACCGGCCGGCCACAAAGCCAGCATTGAAGAATCTTTCTCTATCATCTACCGGGTGCCAAATAAACTGCCGAAAACACCGAAGCACCGCATGCTCCAAACAGCAGAGGCTATTGCGATTCGCCTCAAACAACCAGTGCTCTGTGTGCAAAAGAAGCAAGTCCAGCCAGCCACTACTACTGCCCTGACTGGCCTTCAGTAGAGATTAGAAATTCATGAATTCGTAATATTATCTTTCCTTTAATTTAAAAAAAATTTAATCTTGTTGTAGATCGTGTTACTCGTTCAAGTAATCAGTAGTTTGGGGGGTGTTTAAGACAGTTTTTTTAAGTATGGCCTGAATATACCCAAGGATTAGTATATCGTTGACACCTCCTCTACACTATCATTTCATCAACACTACCCCAAAACTGTGTTTCAAAATAGTGTGTTCACCCATTCTCTATACCAAGATCTTGAACCCCTTCTTGCTTGTCTGATCCTACACTTTTAGTAAAAAATTGATTGCACTCACTTTTAAAATGAAGCTACCTAACCATCACAAACACCACCACCACCAACACCAACAAGCATCAGTTACCACCGACGGGAGGAATTTTAAGGAAGTCACTTCCTTCGCTTATCCGGACAGCATCATTTGAACTAAAGGCGGGACAGATGAAAATGCAAACAGTAGGTAGACAGGTAAAGGAGAGAGAGAGACCTTCATTACTCAGAAATCAGTGTGTGAGATTTATTCCACTCAGCATAATAAGGAATAAGATTCAGTCAGATTTCCAACACTAATGTCAAGTTAGTCAGAGATTCTATGTGGTTCAGAAAGAATTCCTCATAGACTGTCGCAGACTTTCTTCAGCATCTGTAAGCCAGAAAGGACTAGCGACGAACGTCCTCCATCCTGTCGTTCAAAAAAAGCATTGTCGAAGAAAATGGAGATGGATTAAACACAATCTAAGGAAACTGTTGAATACTATCACGGGGTATGCAGTGTCTCGAGTGGAGCCCGATTCGGAGAAAACGAGTTATCCATGGGTTTAAAAGTGACATAGAGGGTATCGGGTGTGAGAAGAAAATGAAAGTCTTGATGCAGTCGTGAATCCGACTAAAAATGATTTCATAGAACAGAGTGAGGTAGAGATTTACTTTTGAAGCCGTTTGTTCCACTTGGAACCCAAAAGAACAACTAAAAAAATAGTAAGAATACTCTTAAGGCTTTTCTTTTGTGCATTTTAACCCAACTTCTTTTGCACTTTTTAGGCGGATATGCAAAAAACTTTCTTCTCATCTGATAAGAATCTTCTCCCTGTCATGCTAAAACGCATAACTTCGACTGTCTAACTGGCCATTACATAATTCTGTCTTTTATGTCTTTGAATTTCGCTTCTGCA